CATTAAAATGCTTAAATATCCAACTTTACGCCCCAAATACATGCAAGTTTAACTTTCACATTTACAATAAGTGTTAAGTAAAAGAATATAAAAAATGATTAAACTGAAATCTGACTGAAATCAAACTGTTCTAAAATGCAGAATTGCTTAAACATGACGCTGTTTTTTTAACTAAAGTGAACATGGCTGTAAATTTTAGCTGATAGACCCTAGGTTCGCTCAGCTAAGCATCCATAGCCTTCAAATTACATTTCTTTTTGTTCCATGGTTGTATATGACAAGTAGTACAAGTTTAGTCCCACACCAAGGTCACTGTTTTTTTTTTTGATGACTTAACCGAAATAAATAATCCCTAATGGAAAAACCTGAACGGTATAAACCAAAACCGAACACAACGGCACGAGAATTTGGAGAATACTGAAGAGGAAAAAATCATTAGGGATTTCAGCCAAAGTTCCGCGCCCCGGGGGACCCTCAGAATCAAGAATCTTTACTTACCTTTGCAACGATGCAAATACCAAAAAAAGCCGTCGATTCCTCAAAAGACACCTTCAAGTCCAAAAATCTTTCAAGTATTTTAGTTAGGGATATAATTCGCCATTTTTAACGTACATACAACTTACGTACAAACCGCCACATTTTAGTTTTACCGCACGTAAACCGATCAGCGAACTCGACAATTTTCTACTTTGGACGAAAAAAATTGTGTAATTTGGATGGGAATTTCTTTTAACGTGTGGGTTTTCTTATCTAATCCACATCCGAATCAGTCGCACCTAGCGCCACCTTAGCAGTCCCTATTTTGCACCGTTTCATTCAGTGCTTTGCGCGCCCGGTGCCACTAACGCTTAAAGTTGGAGCAAGCGCTTGCTGCATGACATGGATTAGATAAATGTACTTCAAAATATTTTAAGCAGACAGACGAAATTTAATATTTTTTGAAACAATTTAGAACACTTGAAGAAGCACACGTTAAGTTTGGTTACCGAGGGACCGTGGATGGTTTAACCAAACAACCGGCAGCGCTTGATTTAAGTTATGTTTTAGTTTGACAATTATCACATAGATGACTACATAGCAACGCGAATGGTGAACATGGAAACCATCGTGTAACTATTTTGTATCATATGTGACAACGTCTGCGGTTTGTCTTCATGGTAACCATCAAAGAAAACAAACAATGTGCTTTTATTAAAACTATGTTTCGTGTTAGTTTGGTTAATATGAAGCCATTCCGCATACTTAGACCTGGTGTACTAAACATTTTTATGCCTGTTTTGCTGTGGCTTGCCGCATCGAAATTCCCAGGAATGAAGTTTTCTTAATAAGAAAACAACATATCCATTTTTACATTTACAGTAATTGCCACGCCGCTCCTAAACTGTAAATGTCTTGACAAACTGAAGACTATTTGAGTTTCAATTTGTCGATTTGAAAATGATTGACAAGATTAAAGTTTCCTTCGAAAGATTTTGAAAATTTTTGGTCATTTCTCTTGATAGTGGAGTTCATCCTTTAAATTTATAAAGGTTCTAACCCCATACTCATTATCTAAGCGTAGCAACTACTCGCTGCAACTACAGCGCATGCCTAAGCTATCTAAACTTCCTACCTGCGCATGGCACCGGAATTCCGCCCTGAAAGGAATGCCCTTGAAGGAGGTAACCCATCATGCCCTTAACTTAACAACCTAGTGCATGTTGCACCTACGGGCGACCTCCAACCGGGGTGGGTTGAACTACTCATGCATTATAGGGGATCCATGCAGGAGTGCCTTAATAGTCAATGTAGAAAGCCGTTCATGAAATTGGCCAACTACAACGACTGCATGCTCTTACCGTACTAGGGAGAGATATTTTCTTTCCACCAAAACCACGATCTTCCCTTGGTCTTCAATAGGCCTTGCTCGCTTGATCCAGTCTTCAAAGGTCTTCTTACAGATGCTATTTGCATCCTCTACGCTAAGGTACCATTTGTACCCACTAACCCCAAGTTGAAGTTGCCTTCATTGGGCCAAACTTCACTTGCATTTCCGATTCTAAGCTATTGTACTGCCTATCCTGCGAGGCAACAACCGCTGCGATCATGCGTAGCTCCTTAAAGCAGTATATTCACACAGAGGTTTTTCGAAGTTAAATTATATAGAACAAAACAATTGTTGCATGCCAGTCACAGACTTGAAATAGTTGATACAAATTCACGCTTACTAAGACACAAATTTTAAAAAGAATTAAAGTAGCACCGATAAACACTATTGGATTATTTTAACCAAAAGAACACTTTTATTACCTCTTAATTAAGACTATTTTTGAAAATGCAGATGTAAATTTCTTTAAATATACTTATTTGCATTCTTGCATTAAAAAAATAGCCTTACAGTGGAATATACTGTACACCAGGATTTGTTGTGGCTATTTCCCGAATTATATTAGAAATTTGACCTGTTAACAGGCCTAACTAAATAAAAGGTTTATTATTATTACACTTACGGTTTTCGACGAATCCTTGGCAGTTCGACGACAGACTACGATGAATGACAGATGTCATGCCAATTGTGAAGATGAAACGATCGGATGTTGAGCAAGGACAGCCACAAAAAAGCCCAAAATAATTTTTTGAAAAATTCAGAACGTTGATGGTGAAACCATCGTATCCAATTTTCAGGCTAACTGACAAACATCACCACTTTTATGTCGACGACGGCAAGCACAAAAACAAGATTGGCCATTTCTTCCAACTGTGCATGTCGTCTACGGCATTAAATCGGAAATATCGACAGACAGTCGGAAAATTAGGATTTTTAGGTTTTTTATTTTCATGTTAAAGAAATTCCAACCTTTTTATTACGAAAATTTTCAATTAAATGATGTTGAAATTTGAGCGTTCGATAGCGGCGTGGTTTTCTCCATCATTGCGATTGATTGACCAGTCGTGATCTTAGCAGGAAAATGCCCAAGAAAATGTTTTTGAAAAGGTCATAATATTGACTTGTCCATGGAAACAGGCGTTAGTTTGATGGATGCATTGCTCCAGAATATTGTTTAGTGTTGGCACTCTTTGTTGAGATGGTCTTTAGGACATTAGAAGTCACGTATTTTTCAATTTCATCAAAGTATATTGTTAATTTTTGATCATTGTTCAGAAGAGTTCATTAAAGTATATTGTCCATTCTTGATCATTGTTCAGAGGTCTTCGTTAAAGTATATTGTCCATTCTTGATCATCGTTCAGAGGTCTTAATGAAAGTATATTGTTCATTCTTGATCATTGTTCAGAGGATTTCATTAAAGTATATTGTTCATTCTTGATCATCGTTCAGAGGTCTTAATGAAAGTATAATGTCCATTCTTGATCATCGTTCAGAGGTCTTAATGAAAGTATATTGTCCATTCTTGATCATCGTTCAGAGGTCTTCATTAAAGTATATTGTCCATTCTTGATCATCGTTCAGAGGTCTTAATGAAAGTATATTGTTCATTCTTGATCATTGTTCAGAGGATTTCATTAAAGTACGTATATTGTCCATTCTTGATCAGAAGGTTTCTACATAGGATAATTGAAGCCAATGTCAGTTCACACTATACTTCCATAAATGAATAACATTGATAACATACTTACATTGAACATTTTATTCACTCGTAATGTAGTTCAAGGGAAGAAGGAACTGGTCGACAACAGCCACAATTCTCTTCAACTGCCGTGAACAACAACCAGTTTCTTTAATTGTAGAATCCACGATCATGGTGAATACACCAACATTTGTTTGTTGTTTCTCAATCTCACTTGATGACTATTTGTCGTTTAAGAGAAGAATGTCCATGTCTAAAATCAAGCATAGAGGAAACAAGAGTTACTAAGACGAAAACTTTATGGAAAGGCCACACTGCACTTTGCATTAATGAACATCACATGCAGTGTCCCAATTCAATGTTTACTCAATGCAAAAGAACATGAAACAAGACATTTACCTGAACATTTTTTCAAAGCACTCCAAGAGATATTTCACTATTGAATAATTTCCACTTCGGCTAACTATTCTTCGTGCAACTACAGACTTTCACGTTCAAATGGCACGTTCTTAGTCTTAGACTGTGGCCCAAGTTTCACGAATGTGTTGTATTCTGATTGGTCAGTGACTAGGTGTGTTGTAAACGTGTTGTGTTGCTATTGGTAATTTACTAGGTGTGTCGTCAATTGTATATTGTGAAATCAGCTGAAATTTAGAATTTGCATGATCATCACTTAGAATTAATCCCCATAGAGCGGTAAATGCAATTTAATACAATATAAATAAAAACGTATACTTCAGCTACAGCAAATAGCAAATCCCAAACATTTAAGCCTCCTTGGGGAACAACTACAAGTTAACATTTGATTTCTTTTAATTAGCATTCTACAAGGTGTACATAAAAACGACGTTTAGCAATTAAACTATTGTAAAATTTCAAAGCCCGATCACTGTGCTAATCTCACTTGTGCATTACATTTCCAATGGAGGAAAATCTTTTGTTCTTGAATCAACGTAGCTAACAATGTTCCATGCACCTTTGGGCTTGGCATAGTGACAGACATTGAAATTATACAAAGATCTTCAGTGGTAAATGAAGGCTGACCAGCTAGTTTTGCACACATCAAAGGAATGAATCGGATAGAAAAATATTATTACAATGTATTTTTTATTTTTTATTCAACTACAGCCAGCATTATATGTTGTCCCTTTTAAAGAATTTTCAATCTCCATGCAACAATAAATTTTCATGGCAACTTTTGTTCCGAATCTTTCCACATTCCTTTTTGTATGATAAAAATTAAAAAAGTTGAGCACCTTCAAACGTTCGTTTTCCAGGCCGGCTGCCAAAATTTTATCTACTAGGTCCCAGTCTTCACCACCCCATGTAATGATAGTTGCCCCATATGTGACACCCCGAAGCTTGTAGGAGCTAGTTGTTAGTTCAATAAACAAGTTTAGGCGACAGCTCTCGTGCTTTTTGTATTTCTTTACTACACCCCAGGCATACCTAAATCGTTCCACATCCATGCCATCAATTCTAAAAGTAGATAATAATCTAGAGTAATGATATAAATCTCTTTTTAACCCATAAGATTTATAGATTTTAAATGGAAAAAAATTTATTCCATGTTTGTTCTTATAAATGTACTGTTTTGAGTATCAATGTAGTCTTTTTGCAAAATAACAAAATTACACATCATACAATAAAAGTTTTCCTGTAAAATAGGGTGAGGTTTTCCCTTCTGGTGGCTTAAATGCCAAGATTTGATTTTATTTTGATTATTGATACCTTACATTATACATACGAAGTACATACCTATCCCAGTCTGACTTGTACAGAGCTATAGGTCCATACCCATCGTGCTCCCAGTGCCTATTGGGATGATTCAAAGTATAACAACAGTCCAGACGAATCAAGAGTGCATTAAATGTGGTTGTTTCCCTGAATACAATGCTAAAAAACAACACATACCAAACATTAAATGAAAGATATTTCAGTATTTTTTCATTACATTACATTGTCTGTCATTGTTTAACTATATTTTAAGTTAAAGTAACGACAGTGTTTGTTCTGTTTATTATTCTTATTATTCATGATAACATGCAAATGACCAATACCAAACAAAATCAACCTTGTACTATCTAATTTCTATTCAACTGTTAATAATCTAGGTTTTGACACTAGTTAAAAACTCTCTAAACTTTATGTCAACTGATGACTGTTACTGTTCTTCCTTTCTTCACTTAAAAAATAAACCATGTTTACTGTGTTTGCAAATGAAAGAGACCTTTTGAAGAACTTGCACCTGGTCGACATTCGGCCTCAGCTTTGAACTGATCTTTCCATGAACTTTCGAATGATTTGATTCATAAATAACAAACCCAGAAATGACAAATGTAATAATAACCATAATGATATGTACTGCTTATCGCTTGTAAAATTAACTATTTTTGTCAAAGGGAGTTAAGTGGGATGGGGTAATCTGGGGGTAGAAATATAGTGAATTTGTAATAATGGATACTTTTTCATATTGCTCGACCAAAGAGTTTCCGGTTACAGCGGGCTAACCACGTGACACGTTCAGTGAAAGATAAAAAAAGAGCAAAAGATACAAACATTTAAAACAGAATCATCGTTACTTACTACAGCCACACCAGTTATTATTCTCAATCTACCCGAACCACCAAGAACCATTTTCACGTCACCTTTTGAATCAACAACTATAGTTGGACAAGCTGTTGATACAGAGCGTTTCCCAGACTGAATAAACTTGGCTTTTGACGCTTTTGGTTGATAACTTTTTGATGTATTTGGTAACGAAAATGAACTCATATGATTGTTGTAGACTATCCCTGTTGTATAGGATCGAAATCTTTGCACCAAAACTGAATAAAAAAAGTAATTTTATGTTGTTATAAATAGCACATTGAAAATGAGCGACCTGCAAAGCAAACTGCTAGATGTATGCAGGGTTTTGACGTAGTTATGTTTCCATTTGAAATATTTTTGTATGCTCCAGTGTAGTGTTAACTGTGTAAAATACTAGCATGATCCTTAAGCTCAAACAATAAATGCAGTTGTGTAAAAGAGCGGTAATTGACCGTCGATCACCGTAGCCAATACAACGAGATAAAGTTGTAGCTTTCAAATTGAACTATGAAAATGCTTACCAATAACCAACTATGTAGTGACAGACATAGCATCTCGAGTTGACAAAATTACTGATACATGTGTAGTCCCAGAGTCTTTTCTTGTGGAGTAAAACCCTTCATAGTAAAAACTATCGTGTGTTTCATTGTTCCATATCATTTTACGCAAATCTTCAGCATATGTTGTATTTATTTGAACATCCTGTGATTGGAAAATAAAAATCACCAATTTAAAAAATTAATATTATTATAATGAAACATAATCCGAATGAAAAGTTCATGTTTAATTCAATATTTCAGAAAAAAAACTTAAGACAAGAAAAACAAGACAATTTTTTATTTTAACAGCAATATTTCGAATATATTACAAATTCATCATCAGAGTCTACATAGAATTGACTTGTTTTTTCTCACATATTCAGTTAAACATGAACTTTTTATTCGGAGTACGTTTTATATTATACTAAGAAAGTAAACATGTTTATACTTTATATGATATAAGGAGTTTTTACTTTGTCGACTGTTACTTTCATAATTTTGGGGGTTTATAAAGCTGGGTTTTTTTCTCTTTTGTTCATTTATCACTACCTATACAAAATAATGTTTTTCTATTGTCTTAAACTTACTTTTTCAACATTACGATAAAATTCTGGATCACCAATGAACGGACGACAAGCATACCCGAACTTAAACGCGTCCAAAATTCGATACCATGTAAGTGTCTGCTTGTTACCTGTTATGGAGTCGGGACCAAACTTGAAACCTAAAATAACAAAGAAGTCGTCAGTGAAATGTGCATTCAGAACTAACATATGAGTGATAAACGCTCATTAAATTTACAAACATAAGTTGTTATGACACCAGTTTTAACTAATATTTACTTTGACAATAGTCTAATGTTATTCGGTTCTATTCGTGAACAATGACAACCAAACCTTTTAAAATGTTAAGTATCATTAAGGAGCTGCTCTAATTGATAGCGATTTATCTCTCTCATATACATTTTCATTGTCTTTCCAGCAAGCCGAATATTTTCCAAATTGAAAGGTGCTGTTCATGAGGTTATTTCTTGTGCCTTGAGCAGATGTGTAGGATCAAACATTAGAACTATTTTTCTTCCATTGTGAACAAACCATGGCTTCGTTGGTGACATTCAATTTTGTGACATACTGTAGAAGTTGGTTCCATATCTGATATTACCAAACAAATGTTCAACCCAATCAAATCAAGCTTGCGAATGACTTCTTTGATCAAATCTTGCAAAACATCAACTAGACAAGATTCATTAACAAGTACATACCCAAAAGGTTGCTTCCAACCTCCAGATATGCTTTGAAGCATGAATACAAGACCTGATGTTGCCAATTTGTTTGTTCGATATCCACCAAAGTCCTCTACTCCAACAATCTTATCTTCTGTGATGTTGTAGTAAAGGTGTGTTTTTAATGATATCTCAACACAAAGAGTGCACAGCTTTTCCATATCATTCATGTAACACACTTCTTCTTTCAACAGATTTAAGGTTGCCTGAGGAATACCAGCTGCTATTGGAATTCGTGAAACAAACCGTCTAATTGAAGACTTTGTTGGCAGAATAAACAGCTTGGAGAGGAGGCTATACGCTTTGCCACTAGCATGATACAATGAAACTGCTAAGGACTTCATTTCTGGTGAGTACCTTCTTCCATGTTTTTTTGTTGAATGTAACTTCAGTTGCAATTCTATAAAATTAGACAGTTATATTAGCCATAATATCTTGGAATCTTGTCTATGGTTTGCAAAGAACATTTGCTAGGGACAACTCTAGAACCAACACTTATTAGCACATCAATTCCTTCTTCTGACCCAAGCAGTGACTGCACTTCCTCATTGCAACTGCATTGCAACAACTACAATGTTATAAAGAAATAAAACAGTATGAGTTGTATGTGGATGCACAGCATACTTTTATATCAAGTGGCCATACAGCTGTTACAATCATTATGAGTTGTATGTGGATGCACAGCATACTTTTATATCAGGTGGCAATACAGCTGTTACAATCATTATGAGTTGTATGTAGATGTACAGCATACTTTATATCAGGTGGCAATACAGCTGTTACAATCAGTGCATGTTGCCCATTATAAATTATTGTGATAAATATCAGTTCTATCAATTTTAAAGTACCTTCTCTGAAAAAGTTTTGATTTCTGATGCTGGTAAATCATCTAAAGTTAGTTTGAGCTGTTCACACAGACTTGAAACCACATAGTCATAAACCCAAGGTTTTAAAATGCATGGTGACGGACCACATTGCAAAATGGAGGCAGCCATAAGATTTCCAGCATACAAAAATTCATTCTCTGTCATTGCTGATGTTGAGATAATGGGAACACCAGTAATGAACAGTCGTTGTGTAATTTCTTTAAGAACTTCTGCAAACATAAAGGATTTTTTAAATTCTCTACATATAAATATGTGACAATGACTGTTTAAAGGCAATAGACTTTTGTACTTTTTAAAAACAAAAAATGGATGAGTCAAACCTGTTAAAAATTCTTTCCTTGGTCTTCCAGTACCTTGAGCAGGCTCACCAATAAAAACTACTTTAAGTTTATTTTCATCGATAATCCAGCTACAACATTTTCTTGTCTCAATGTAATCAGCAAATAGCTGGCCTCTCCTTACATTTATTCTAGATTGTGCTTTGGGATTTTTCACTAACGCTTCAAGAATATCTGAAATTGACTTCACACCAGTATCCAAACTCACATATTCAGTGACATCTCCACTTGTGTTTCCTTCTGCAATATCAACTGAAAGTTCAAATTTTCTTTCTTGATAAAATGCCCGTCAGTTAGCATTTTCTTCACATATGTCTGCATGTAATACAATGTCTTTATCTACAAAATTTCCATGACAAGTGGGACACTGTACATAAATATTTTTATTTCTAGGATTTGTAGGGCAATGCCCAAATGGCAAGGCTGTTTGGGAAGATTCGTTTCTTTTAGAAGTCAAAGAAAAATCAGACTTTGCTGTTGACAAGCCATCTCGATTTAGTTAAAAGGGCATAGTAGGTTCATCAGATATCTCATCAGGTAAGGAATGAAAATCATAAAATTCATCATCATCAGAAGATACTACTGAAAGATCTACGACTTGTTTCTTATTTCCTTAAGTTTCATACTTATTTTTAGTAGTTTTTTAAGTTGACTTTGCTACCAGAACAAAAAATTGATCATGATCAGAGTGTTTTTTTATGTCAGCGCCAGTACTTTCTCCCTATCAAAATCTTTGCAAACTTTTACAGGTAATTTGGAGCCTCTTTTCACTGTTAGAGTACCATCGTTTACGGTGATTATGTCTACCTGTATTACAACACGATTATCCACAGGCTTTTTTGAAGGTGGACATTGGCTAGTTGATTTCCTTTTCGATGACGAGCTCGAGATCTTCGTGTTAAATCCTACTCAACATTCTCCTTTTATAGACATGTAATGGTCTAATGTCTTCGCCTGATTACATACCGACAATTTTGCTTCTACTTTAGATCCGCATTTGAAACAAAACCTGTCCGTAAAATTTAGTTCATTTCCACAAGTTCCTTTTTCCGCCCCTTTGTTACGGGAATGACATGTCTTAAAAGTTTTGTGATCATACTTCATGTTGGACAACATTTAGGTGTCTAAATTCTGATCAAAAAATATTTACGGATTTGAAAAATCTTTTCGGATTTTCAAAGTATTTTCCGATTTAGAAATATATTTTTACATTTTCGATGTATAATTACAGACTGGAAATATATTGTTGGATTTACAAAACATTTTGCGATTAAAAATATATTTTCAAAGTGGCCCTTCTCGGCTTCCGTACAAAATACCTAGGAAACGGTAATAAAATTCAAACATGTTAACAGAAACAATAAAGATCATAAGGCCGTATCTTTGTTTTACATAACAATAAATGCCCTAAATTATTTGCCACGTATCAACTCAAACGACGCAGACATTTGACGCTTAACTCTTCAGAACGTTGAATTTATCTGAAAGATTGAATGTTCAAAGTTCCAACCGTCGATCAAGCAAAAGGTTTGTAAGACAAAAGATAAAGAATTATCATGTGTGTTTACGTTGTATAAATGTGACCTTAAATACAAAATGCTTCTCATATTTAATTGATATATTTTTGCTAAATATTAGTCCCACCTTAGTACTATGAAATATACATCATAGATACCCGTAGCATTTTGTAATCCTGTAATTGTATACCAATCAAACGAAGTTGCAAATACAAACAATTTACTTACGAAAAATAATTACTGCGATCGAAAGGAAGGCCTGTTTATCGTGATGTGTTCGTTTACCAAGGAATTCAAATCGCTTGCTAGCATGCAATTATATTTATCTTTGGGTCCGGACGGTATATTTATAAAATATGTGTTATTTCATTATACTTGTGATAGTATGAAGTGACATTTATGAATCAAGAGGGAAATTAAGTTTGAAATTGCAAATGGACTCATGCATGCCATCATTGATAATTGAAATATTTAGTCGGATTTTTTTAAACATTTAGGCGTTTTGTAACTTTGCAATTATCTTTCGTCGAGCTGTTGACGCTAATGTTACCATAAGGAATGAAATATGATCACCATTTTTAACTGATATGTATGTGGTCGCGTTGTTTATATTAAATCTCTCATCCGTTTGTTGAGTATGTGACATGTAAAGAACTAAAGCAAGAATAATTTTGTTCACATTATCGTCTTACTTTTGAAAGAAAGTAATTTTAGAAAAATTAAGCGATATTTTAGAACTACACTAACGACATAACAAATTAGCTAAAGCAGCATCTCGATAAAGTATGACTAAACATGCATGAGAAATCATATCTAAATTGATGTACCAATTTTCTAACTATTGACAATAAGCTACATGGTAAAGGAAAGCAAAACCTGTTCAAAGGTATGGGGGAGGCAAAATAACATGAGAACATTTCCTACATGTAGCACGCTGAATTTTCTATATAATCTATACTTGTCTATGGAAAAAAGGGAATTTTTGTAACAATTTATGTACGGGGTGGGGCACATAACTAATCATGCATCACCTCCCTTCTTTGCTGACGGCTCTTTTGACTAATCTCTGTGTGTCTAGCAAAATGTTCATAGTTGTATACAACAAACCATTTCTTTTATAAGTAAGGAAATTTGAAAAATAAGCAAAAGTTAAACACAGGAAAAATGTATTTACACACAGAGAAAGAACGCGACCGAAGCTATTTTTTGTGAATTGTTGATTCATGCAACACAGAGCTTTCAAAATTATACTTTTGATCAAATGTTAGTTTAACAGTGTTAAAGTTTACTTTTATTGCATCCTTTACTGTTATATGTATAGTGTTTTTTATTGATCATAAGTATTTACAATTGCGTGCAGTTGATAATTAAAATGTATTGATGATTTACGATGGATTATTCAATAACAAAGGTCTTTTTATAATATAAACTGACTTTTGCAATAATATACGTGTATGGAATTTTTAATTAGCGAAGTGAAAAAATAGAGTTTAAAGTTTAAAAAATTGTGTCCTAATCATTCACATTCAAATCCTATTTTAGAAAGATGATCCCTTTATTCCTGAATTTAAGCTTGTTTAACTTTATATTATTTAAAGTAGTCCTTTGGAATTTCAAACTGATATGTATGTGGTCGCGTTCTTTATATTAAATCTCTCATCTTTTGTTAGGTATGTGACATGTAAAGAACTAAAGCAAGCTTAATTTGGACGACGAGATCGTCAGATATGAAGTCTTACTTCTAAAACAAAGGTAATTTTACAAAAGTAAAGCGAGATTTATATCCACATTACGGACTTAACAAATTAGCTAAAGAAACATCTATAGATGAAGTATGGGTAAACATGCCTGAGAAATCATGTCTAAGTTGATATACCAACTTTTTAACTATTGACCATAAGCTGCATGTTAGGTAAAAACAGTAAAATCTGTTAAAAAGTTTGATGAGGAAGAATAGCATGATTGTATTTTCTACATGTAAGACGCTGTAATTCTTCCTCCACCAGGACCAAAAATGCTTTCTCAATCTTGCTAAATACCTAAACCTACGCTTGACCACTCCTGCATCTTCGTCATTAATAGTATGCAGAATTCCTTCGTCTGGAAGAAATAATCTTCTTCCAAACATAAGATGTTTGCACATCAGTACATCTACATTCACTTCATATTCATATACATAAGTCAATGGTCTAGAGTTTAACGTACCTTGTACCTCAACTAATGTTGTTAACAATTCTTCCTCGTTCAATTTAGCGCTACCCAACACTTTCTTCAGACAGCCTTTCACCAATGCTACCATTATCTCAAAAAATCTACCCCACCAGGGTGTCCTCGCCAAATTAAACTTCCATATCAACCGATTACCTTCCAATCATGATTTTACCTCCTTAATTCCATAAATCCCCATCAACGCTTTCTCAGTTGCTTTAAATATTTTGGCGTTGTCCGAAACTATTTGGGAGGGTGCTCCCATTCTAGCAGTAAATCTTCGCATACAATTCAATAAACAGCGTGCACATAAACTATCAACTAAATCAAGACAAATTTTTCTTGAAACACAGAAGGAAAATAATGCGATGTATACTTTAATTTGACTAAATTTGCAAATTTTATCACACAATCTTTATCTACCGCCTGTGTGTTAGCTAATACTGTCTTCCCGACATCCACAAGACTTTCGTCTGTTGTTTTAACCTCTTTTGGCATTGGCCAATCACACTTGGGACTTGACAACCACTTCGGACCCTTCCACTAAAGTTCACTTTCCTTTGATTGTGATGTCGTAACTCCCCTTGAACCTAAATCCGCTGGGTTTTCTACACCCGCCAATGTTTCCAGTCATCCTTCCTGCTCAATCTTAAAATCTCGTTAACTCTATGGCGCACAAACTGTTTCCATTCTCCCCTATTACCGAACCAGCACAATGCAGTCATACTGTCCAACCAATAGTATTTACCATTAAATTGAACATAACCTTCTAAAGCCAACTTCACTGTGTCCATCAACTGTGCTAATATTCCAACTGACATCACTTCTAATCCGGGAGTTGTTTGCAATTTTATTGGCGCTATCCTTGTTTTCGACGTAAGCAACTCTACGTGGTAGGCACCGTTTAGCTCTGTCACAAAATATACGAGTGCACAGTATGCCTTTTGGCTGGCATCTGCGTACCCATGCAAATAACACTTTACCTTACCAAGTAAATTACCATACACACATCTCGCCACAACTAAGTCCCTGACTCTCTCTAAATCACCATCCACCTTTCCTAACGTTTTTTTCTTGTCACCTTCTCGCTCATTATCCCAATCAGATTTCTCAATACACAGCTCCTGAAACAATAACTTAGCACAAACTACAACTGGACTTATAATAACTAATGGATCGAATAATCTTGCAAGTATACTTAGTATATTTCATTTACTTGGTATGATAGCCTTTGCTCTTTCACACAATTTCCAGAGGCTAAATACAAAGTGATCCTACTTACACTCCCATCCCAATCCTAGTACTTTCTCAAAACTTCCACTGATACTATTTCCCCCAACTGATGCTTTGGCATAAGTTTGCTCATCAACCACTTTTGAATTACTTAATTCTGCCCTTCTTTCCTCAAAATGCTTCTTTCTCTCTATTCTATTTCTTTCAAAACATTCTCATCGTTACTTAGCCACTTCCTAAGCCTAAATCCTCCTGCAGCCAATCGTTCACTTGCTGACTCATACAACCTCATTCCTTTCTTCTTGGATTGTTCACCGGACACTAGATCCTGGACATAAAAGCTAATTTTGAGTTTTTTAACAGTGTGCTTGTTCCATCTCTATGAATGTGTCTAAATGATACTGCAGTGTCGCATTCAACAAAAATAGAGAGCAGTTAACACAAACGCTACTCTACAAAATCAATATTCTACAGGCTTCACCCTCTCATTGTTTACATCGTCAACCCATAAAAATCTTAGGCAGTCCCAGTACAAAGTATCAACTTCTGTATTCAAAAATGCCTTTTCAATATCTGCCACTAAAGCGACTCTCTTCTCTCTAAACTTTATCAAATATGAAAGAGCAATGGTGCTGATTTGGGTCCCACATGCAAGCAGTCATTGAGTGAGGCAGCCTTGGGTGACTCTTTACACAATGTATCATAAACAACTCTTACCTTAGTTGTTTTGCTTTCTGCAAATAACTGCATGATGTTGTAAATAATGTATTTTATCAGCTTGCTCCAGTTTTATCACTGGTTCTATAATACCCTTCCTCAATTGATCTTTGATTGTCTTATCATACTCTTCTAAAATTTCTGGTTACCTTTTCAGCCGTAGTAACTGACCCGTGAATCTTCTCAAGTTTATGCTGTAATTTGTATAGTCTAAACTATGTCCTTCTTTCCAAGGCAATTTGACACTGTAGCTGTTGCCATTAAACACAATAGAATCCTTTAACAATTCATGAAAATAATCTTCCTCTGCTCTTCCTAAAGTTTCAAAATCCCACAAATGATTGACATTCTTATCTAAACTTAAATTTTCTGATCTTTCATGCGCAATGAAGTTTACTTGAGTGTGCATGTTATCTAAATCGTTTCTCCCTTTCATGGGGCCGGACAACACCCAACCTAACTTAGTAGACACAGCAACTGGTTCATCTACCTGTCCCCGAACAACATTGCTTTCCTGAAACCACCAATGATAATCTGCCCCAATCAAAACTTTAATATCTAAAACTTCCTTATCCTTGCAACAACAACAAACAAACAAACAACATTTATATACCGGCCAGTATTAATCCCCGCCAGGGGGGTTGACCGGTCCATGAATTTTTCCACGCCACACATCTCTATCTCTCGCCATATCTCTCGTTTTACCCATCGCCTTCATATCACTGTTCACAACATCCATCCATCTCTTTCTCGGTCTACCTCGTTTGCGGACTCCATCAACATTCATATGCAACGTTCTACGAATTTCAGCACTTTCTTCCCTCCTTTCCACATGCCCAAACCACCTCAAACGCTGGCGTCTTACCCAATTCTCGATACACTCAACACCAACTCTTTCTCTAATCTCTTCACTTCGAATCCTATCCATCAACGTTACACCACATCATCCTAAGCATTCTCCTTTCCGTCGACGCCAATCTTCTCAGGTCCTCTGCTTTCGGCGCCCAACACTCTGCTCCATATCCCAAAACACTTCTAACACATGCCTTATACAATTCTCCCTTCTGCCTCAACGAAGTCGACTTTCCGCACAACATTCCCGACAACTCTCTAAAACTCCACCACGCTGCTTGAACTCTGTTCCTCACCGCTTGCTCGCACCCTCCACCATCATTTAACACATCGCCCAGATATTTAAACTCTGATACACCTTCCAAACTCACGTCACCCAGTTCAAACCGTTCAATCGCGACTCGCCCACCACTTCGACACGTCCCGCACTCAAAATCAGTTACTCTTGTCAATGCACCACGGACACCTGAACATCTTCCATGAACCCACTTACCGCATTTCCCACATTATCGAATTCACTCCAACTCTTTCCCACACACACCACATGGCCATTTATCACTGTCCTTCACCTCCACCTGCCTCGAGCATCTCATGCCCTTCGTCTTTGCCTCATTCACTTTCAGTCCCTTGACTTCTATTGCCGTTTTCCATTCTCGGTACCATTCCAGAACTTTCTGCTTCGACTCCGCCACCAAGACAATGTCATCTGCATACAACAAACACCAGCATCCTTCTTTTCTTCTCACTTCCTCTGTCAGTACATCCATCACACAAGCAAACAGTAACGGCGACAAGACTGAACCTTGATGAACACCAACTTTTACCTCAAAAACACCAGATCTAGCACCTTCCTCCGTAACCACCGCCTCTACACCTTCATAAGTCTCCATAACTGCCCGAACCATATTCTCTGTCACACCTTTCTTACGCAGCGCGTACTCGATCACCTTTCTCGGAACTCTATCAAACGCCTTCTCCAAATCTACAAACACCATATACAATTCTCTGTCCTTCTCCAAAAATTTCTCCTGCAGCTGCCTCAACACAAAACACGCATCCGTCGTTCCTCTCCCCGGTATGAATCCATACTGCTCTTCCCCCATCCGAACAACTTCCCTCAACCTTCTTTCAAACACTCTCTCTACTATTTTCAACGCATGCTCCATCAGCTTAATAGTCCTGTAATTCCCACATACCGTTGCTGCTCCTTTTCCTTTGTACAGCGGGACCACTAGACTCTTTCTCCATGTACTCGGCATCTTTGAGCCCCTCAAAACCTCGTTCGCTACATTACACAACTCTCTCACGCATAGTTCATTGTCCAACATTTCGCTACCCACTTCACTCGGTCCCGTCGCCTTTCCTTTCTTCATCTTGCGCAGAGCCGCCGCCACCTCATCAACAGTCACTATTTCCCACGGCCCAAAAACTTCATCCGCTTCAACTTCTCCATTCCACTCATTCTCTACATTCATCAAACGGTCACAGTACGCCCTCCACACTTCTAACCTGTCTTCCAATAACACCTTCAACTCCCCATCGTGGTTCTGCACGCCGGAGCACCAAAATCGTTCCTCTCCTTCTTGCTCCTTCTAGCTGTTCTAAACAACGCTTTTCTTCCATTCTCCTGCATTTTTACGAGAAGCTCTTTCTGATGTCTTTCTTTCGCTTTAGCCACCTCCTTTCGCGCCTTTTTCTTGAATCGGATGTAATCGATCCTATCTGTTTCAGTCCGCGACTTTCTCCACCTTTTAAATGCCAACTTCTTCGCGCCAATCACTTCGCTGACTCGTTGATCCCACCACCATGCCTGTTCTTCTACTACACCGCCTTTACTTCTACAACATACCTTCTCCGCTGCCTTTAAAACACCCTTCTCCAAGCACGTCCATCGCTCCGTCTCACCCTCAACATTCAATGTCGCAATTTCGTCACGGAAACACTGCTTCCCTTCATTCGATCGTAACTTCCATAGCTTAAGCCTGCCTTTACCCTCAACCTTTCTCCTTTTCACCTTCCTGATTCTCCAGTCCATGACCAGCAGCTTGTGCTGGGTCACACATTCTTCTCCTGCAATCACTTTGCATCCTTCATTTTCCTCTCTTCTTCATTCACCAGTATATAATCCACCACCGTCCTACTGTCACCAGATTCATACGTCACTTTCTTCCTTTATAAACCACGTATTCACTACCACCATCCCACAACTCGCTAACTCCAATATCGTCTCGCCTTCAGCATTCATATCACCAACTCCAAAACCTCCATGCGCAGTATCCTTTTCTTACGCTTCCCACATGACCGTTCCAATCACCAAGCATCACACATCGCCCTCTAATGTCTGCTCTCACTGCATACACGCTGTCGTAGAACTTTTCCTTCTCCTCCGCACTTCGTCCAACCTGCGGGCATACACCACAACGAAACTCACAACTTCGGCCTCAATAACTACATCTCTCTGGGACTCTGTCCGAAACTCTCTTCACTGCTACAACTGACTTCGCCCAATCCTCTCTTATCGCAAAGCCAACACCATTCGTGCCACTTCCGTTTCCCTTCCAAAACCACTTAAATCTCGCTCCATTATCTTCACCCTTTATGACTCTCGTACCTTCACCTTTAAACCTTACCTCCTGAAACCCACACACATCAACTTTCCTTCTCTTCAACATGTCCGCCACTTCTGCACTCCTTCCCTTCATTGTCCCAACGTTCACTGTGCCTACCCGAAGGGTGACACTTCCACAACCATTAGATTCTTCGCACCCCCTGCCCACTGAAGGGCTGCCGGGGACTGGGGGCCATATCTTCTTTTCCAAAGTCCATGAATTTTGTTGGAGCAAAAGTTTTACGGTAGGATGCCCTTCCTTACACCAACCCCTTTTAGTCGTCTTTTACGACACGCAGAGGATACGTTGGCGCAATTCTAAGCCGGCAACCACACGGCACTTCCTTATCCTTGCAAACATCTGAAAACCACAGACTCTTTAAATGTGAATAATCCATCTTTCTCAACTCTACATGTTCATTCCTAATTTGAGATATACAGTCTACACTGTATGCCTCGATGCTTACACTCTCTCCCCATAACTGACGACAACTCTAATTAAAATACTTCTCGCAACTTACCTTTAGCCTTCTCTTGACCAAACAACTTGATTTCTATCCATTCTTTTCTACTAGCCTGAGTACCTGCTCTCTGTATAATCTTTCTATTCACAAATGACTTCTTGAATCAAACAACACTCTGACCCTAACACATCCCTTATCTCCCTTAAAGAAAGCCTGTGCTGTCTGTAATGCTACCCTACAATGTGATCCCAGAATAGAATGGTTGGTTTGAACATCGCCTGTAAGAATCCCATTGACTTCACAAATTGACCTATGGTGTGCCTTCTCACATGCATTAAATTTATCATTACTATTACAATTCTTACTGACATGTCCTTTCTTCAAACAAATAAAACATCTTCCGTACTTACGAATGAGTTGTTTTTCTCAGTTACCTTGGTTATTTTCTTACATTCCTCTGGATTGTGTTCCCCGAGACAATAAACGCATTTTCTTTTCGCTTTACCGTTTATTGACACCTCGTTGCAACTCATGCTTCGCGTGCAGTGTCGATGCTGACCCCATATGTTTTTGTCGCGACGTTTCTCGTTGTTTCTCCCCATCCTGTCTCTTGGTTTTCTCGCCGATCGGTGTGTGAGCCTCGAAACTCCAACTCTTTAAAATTGCGTTCAACGCATTTTTCATTGACCATTCTGTTAAATCGAACGTCTTGTTATTGTCAATTAAAGGGTCCGGCAACTACGCAATGACTTCCGGTATTACGATGGAAGTATATACGGCTTTGTCCACTAGGTTCATTTTCCAACATGTGCTAGTAACAAGGATATGTAAAATAAATTCGTAGCATTAGTCAGTTCAAGACAAGGCTCATTTAATATTGTAAATTATCTCTAGAAGCAAGTCTTTCCACTTTTGCTGAAGGAACTGTTTCCTTCTCACTTATTACACCATACCGCTTTTTTCTTTACTAAGTCCACTTTGATCAACATTCACCTGACATATAGGCATATTTGTGTTTTGAGATGGGCGCTTTTTCTTTGCTGCTTTAATTCCTACAAAACAAGTTAAATTAAATAGTCTAATTTTGAATGCAACACATGTCAGTTAAGGTATATAAGTTAAAGTGTGATTTGTTACGTGTCACGTAACAATCAACTGATGTATAGAAATACCGTCAAGTACAGAGGTATCTCCAGCATTTCTAGCTTGGATTTTCACCATTACAAACGATATTTGACATTGACGATCCAAGACATAAAAATCTAGCACTAGCAATGTCTGTCTTGTAACAAGTCACATGCTGTTTTTAATATTTTGTTGAAAAGCTGCTATAATTGGCAAAAGCTGTAGCATTATATCTGCCATTTAGTAGTTGTCTATGTCTCAATTTGCATTAATAGCATGCTTTTGGTGAAGTTGAATTTAAAAACGAATAAATAAGTTTGATTTCATCATGTATATCCTCGACTTTAACGAAGAGTGATATATGATGCAGGTCGAACTTTTGAAATTGATGATTTTAACTGTCTTCTTGATACATCATATTCTTTTAGATGGAATCAAGAAAAGCAGAAATCTACTTTACATTCAGCAAATAATCAATGTGGTACAAACGGAACTTGCTCAATTTTTCATCAAAGAATGGAACTCTCGTTACAAATTAACACATGGAGAATGGGACGATACCATAAAGAGTGGTAAAAAATTTTGCACTTTAGAATCGGGTAGGAAGTTGGATAAAACACTAAAGTTAAAATATCAAGATGGAGACACAAGTAAATGGGACTGCACAACATTATTCGATGCTATACTTTTTTCAAAATCGATTAGCAGACATCTTGATAAAAAAACAAAGGATGCTGTTCATGCACTTCGTGGTGAAAGAAACAAAGACGCACATTGGTATGAAAGCGAATACTCAGATGATGATTTTGATAAAATAGTCAATATCATTGAAAAATCATTTCAAGATTTGAAATTTTCTCTCGATGAAATCAATAAAATAAAAAATCATCGTAACAGTTTTAATTCGTTTCAAGTTTTTCCTTCAAAACCTAAACATTTTCTCGTTGAACGCATCGAATTACGAGATAAAATCATAAACGATCTTAAAAAATTAAGGAATGATAACAATAACGAACTGACATAATTTTACATCACTGGTAATCCTGGCAGTGGTAAATCTCAACTGGCGAGACAGGTTTGTGAAAAAATATCGTGTGATTGGAAAAACAAAACTTCGTTTGTAATGACTCTCGATGGGAAGAATGTGGCATCTCTTTTACAATCTTACTGTGACCTTGGATACCGCTTAAACTGTAACAAGTTTATGGTTGAAAAATTTAAAGATGAAAATTTTTCCGCCAAAGAAAGTCAAGAACCTTCGATCGTTAGTATCTGCTCGATTGAAATTCTGGCAAAATTGGTTGATTATTGTCGACAACGTTGTGCAACTGAGCGAAATTTCTTCGTTACTACCACAAGTAGGTGATCATATGTGGAAAAATGGACAACTAATAATAACTGTTCAGAATACAGATGCCGTACCTTACGATGAATTATCCAGCAAACATATTTCTATCAGTAAAGGATTGAATGACAGAGAATGTTGTCAATTGTTGAATTCTTACACTAAAGATGAAAATGCTGATGATCAATTGTTGAATGAAGTATCGCACGCCTTAGATCGTCAACCGCTGTCTTTGGCTGCTACTGGTTATTATGTCAGTCGTGTAAACAAAGCAAACTGTTCATTTACTTGGAAAGAATATTTAAAGAAAATATCTTTAGAAGAAGAAGAAAACATGAGCGCCACTTTTGTTAAATTCAACTCGGTATATCCTAGAAGTATGTTACAAGCTTCACTTTTAGCTGTCAAACAAAGTGCAGAAGAATCCTCAATATTAGCACTGGTTATTAGCTTTTTTTCTATGATATCATTTGATCCTTTACCACGAGACATTATGGTTTATTATGTTCAACAAAATGATCCCAAACAAGCTGAGGAAGATATATGTCTTTGTTTAGACGAATGCTCATTGTTCTTGCATTCAGAAAATAATGACATTAGTCTACATCGTATTGTTCACAAAGCAATTATTGATTATCAATCTGAACATTCAAATGAAGAACATGAAATGGAAGCTAATGTTGATCAAATATCTGAAGCACTTTACATGTTTAAAGAGAGAGACGACGAAATCAAATTAATGCCACATCTTGAAAAAATTGTTCAATTATTAAAGACCAACAAGACAAAAATCAACATGAATACTTTAAAAGTTTTCCAATATTTTGTTGACAGATTAAGACATTTTGGAAAATACGATCTTGCTCTTGCATTATTAGATAAATTTAAATCTAGTTATGACAAACCTTGGTATTTTAATATCCTTGGTCTTTTATACCATGACACTGGGAATTATAGCAAAGCTAAAAACCATCACGAAAAAGCTCTGGAAATTCGAAAACAATCGTTAGGTCCAAATCATGTTGATGTCGCTGGGTCTTTAAACAATCTTGGTAATGTGTATAATGAAACTGGAAACTACGACAAAGCTATAGAGTATTACGAAAAAGCTCTGGAAATTCAAAAACAATCGTTAGGTCCAAATCATGTTGATGTCGCTATGTCTTTAAACAATCTTGGTGCGGTGTTTGAGGAAACTGGAAACTATGACAAAGCTATGGAGTTTCATGAAAAAGCTCTGGAAATTCAAAAACAATCGTTAGGTCCAAATCATGTTGATGTCGCTGCGTCTTTAAACAATCTTGGTATGGTGTTTAGTGATACTGGAAACTACGACAAAGCTATAGAGTTTCATGAAAAAGCTCTGGAAATTCGAAAACAATCGTTAGGTCCAAATCATGTTGATGTCGCTACGTCTTTAAACAATCTTGGGAGTGTGTATAGAGGTACTGGAAACTACGACAAAGCTATAGAGTTTCACGAAAAAGCTCTCGAAATTCGAAAACAATCGTTAGGTCCAAATCATGTTGATGTTGCTGCGTCTTTAAACAATCTTGGTAATGTGTATATTATAACTGGAAACTACGACAAAGGTATAGAGTATTATGAAAAAGCTCTGGAAATTCAAAAACAATCGTTAGGTCCAAATCATGTTGCTGTCGCTAGGTCTTTAAACAATCTTGGTTATGTGTTTTATGAAACTGGAAACTACGACAAAGCTATAGAGTTTCATGAAAAAGCTCTGGAAATTCGAAAACAATCGTTAGGTCCAAATCATGTTGATGTCGCTACGTCTTTAAACAATCTTGGTAATGTGTTTTATGAAACTGGAAACTACGACAAAGCTATAGAGTTTCATAAAAAAGCTCTGGAAATTCGAAAACAATCGTTAGGTCCAAATCATGTTGATGTCGCTATGTCTTTAAACAATCTTGGTAATGTGTTTTATCAAACTGGAAACTACGACAAAGCTATAGAGTTTCATGAAAAAGCTCTGGAAATTCGAAAACAATCGTTAGGTCCAAATCATGTTGATGTAGCTGCGTCTTTAAACAATCTTGGTAGTGTGTTTAGAAAAACTGGAAACTACGACAAAGGTATAGAGTATTATGAAAAAGCTCTGGAAATTCAAAAACAATCGTTAGGTCCAAATCATGTTGCTGTCGCTACGTCTTTAAACAATCTTGGTAATGTGTTTTATGAAACTGGAAACTACGACAAAGCTATAGAGTTTCATGAAAAAGCTCTGGAAATTCAAAAACAATCGTTAGGTCCAAATCATGTTGATGTCGCTGGGTCTTTAAACAATCTTGGTAATGTGTATAAAGATACTGGAAACTACGACAAAGCTATAGAGTTTCATGAAAAAGCTCTGGAAATTCGAAAACAATCGTTAGGTCCAAATCATGTTGATGTCGCTACGTCTTTAAACAATCTTGGGAGTGTGTATAGAGGTACTGGAAACTACGACAAAGCTATAGAGTTTCACGAAAAAGCTCTCGAAATTCGAAAACAATCGTTAGGTCCAAATCATGTTGATGTTGCTGCGTCTTTAAACAATCTTGGTATTGTGTATATTATAACTGGAAACTACGACAAAAGTATAGAGTATTATGAAAAAGCTCTGGAAATTCAAAAACAATCGTTAGGTCCAAATCATGTTGATGTCGCTAGGTCTTTAAACAATCTTGGTAATGTGTTTTATGAAACTGGAAACTACGACAAAGCTATAGAGTTTCATGAAAAGCTCTGGAAATTCGAAAACAATCGTTAGGTCCAAATCATGTTGATGTCGCTACGTCTTTAAACAATCTTGGTAATGTGTTTTATCAAACTGGAAACTACGACAAAGCTATAGAGTTTCATGAAAAAGCTCTGGAAATTCGAAAACAATCGTTATGTCCAAATCATGTTGATGTCGCTACGTCTTTAAACAATCTTGGGAGTGTGTATAGAGGTACTGGAAACTACGACAAAGCTACAGAGTTTTACGAAAAAGCTTTGGATATTAAAAAACAATTGTTAGGTCCAAATCATGTTGATGTTGCTGCGTCTTTAAACAATCTTGGTAATGTGTATATTATAACTGGAAACTATGACAAAGCTATAGAGCTTCACGAAAAAGCTTTGGATATTAAAAAACAATTGTTAGGTCCAAATCATGTTGATGTCGCTGCGTCTTTAAACGAACTTGGTATTGTGTGTATTATAAGTGGAAACTACGACAAAGCTATAGAGTTTCATGAAAAAGCTCTCGAAATTTAAAAACAATCGTTAGGTCCAATTTATGTTGATATTGCTGCGTCTTTAAACAATTTTGGTTTATTGTTTAAAAAACTGAAAACTGCGACAAAGCTATAGATTTTTAATAAAAAGCTCTGGAAATTCGAAAACAATCGTTAGATCCAAATCATGTTGATGTCGCTGCGTCTTTAAGGTGGTCATCCCCCTTTAGAGCAATTTTTTTTAGTTTTATAGGTAGACACTTCAAAATAACATTTTTGGGAAGTGCTGAATGTGAGAAATCATATCTGACAATTTTTTTTTTGATCACTCATTAATTATGCTAATTATCAAAGATGGCGACTAATTAATTAGCATAAAATGAGCCTCTTTTCAAACACGATTGCATCAAAACTACTAATCAGAAACTTATATATAATACATATTTACAAAGCTTATATCAAGACCTAGTGCATGACACTTTTTGATTTTGTTAAAAAGCTATTTTAAAAGAAATAAGTGAGAAAAACTAGGTATTCAGGAAAATTTCATTCTTCGTTAGTTGCATGAACCTTAATTTTTCATTATTATTAAACATTATCAAATTTTTAAAAGTGTCATGCATTAGATTCAGTTACTAACTATTACCACAAAAAATTTGAGCTTTCTACAACAAATATTGAAAAGTAATCGTGTCACAAAATTGCCTTCTAAGAGGAAATAAGGAAAAGGAGAAATTAGCATTTAAAGTTTTATAATGATCTTACTGAGACTAGAAGGCACCAGCTTCATAAGTTTTTCCTTCATTCTGTTCACTACTATCTACAAAGTTCTTTCTCATATGCCTGAGTGTTTTTCTTCTTTTTTTTACCTTCTCTGTGCTCTTCTTGGAGGATAATTTGATACGATCGGTATCACAATGCAATGCACCATTTGTAGTAAACAAGCCAGGTAGTATGTCTAAGTCACTAAATAATTTGAGGAATAATATATCTCCTTCATTGAATTTAAGCACAGCTAAGTAACTTGAAAGTGCTACAGTTTCCTGTTCCACATATGTGGACTTTGGGCATCTTTCCCAAATTAGCCCGTTCAGACACTCATTCACATTCTGTGTCAAACCATGTGTACACTTTTGCAACAAGCTTTTATCACTTAGACTTTCATAAATGGGTTCAATGAGCTCAACAATACTTTTTGGTATACCATTCTTATGATGGTATGTTGTAGGGTCTTTCTTGTATCCACACCAACTGTCTTCAGTGTCGGGGCAAAGTTCATGTTGAGGGTTATCATCACTTGATGCCACATGATAAAGGGATGCCTTGATTGCTTTAGCCATTTTATCTATGTCATGCAGGTTCTCTCTCACTGCCAATCCATAGTAATTTTGCAGAAGGTCAATTTTAGCATCAGTCAATCTGCCCTTTCCACTCACACCTTTACCATCCCCCAGTTTCACTCCTTTATGTGAACTCTTCAACCTCCGAAGGCGACTCCCCACTCTCTTTTGCACATGTCCAATGCATTCCAGTTTTTTTGGAATGCAATCTTTTCCATATGGTTCTCTTTCAACTATAGCACTATATGTTGATGAGTCACCATCGCCCAACATATTCTTATATCTCAATCCTCTGGTAGCCATGGACCGCTCAAAAATTCTGATAGCTCCACAAGTCTCCATGCTATTAGAACTTCCTTTATGGTTTATTTTGCAGATGTGGGAAGCCTTCCATTCATTGTATCTCACATCATGCTCTTTCTTTTGCCACTTCAAGCACTGCTGGCATTTGTCTGAAAGAACTTCTATATCCAGACATTTCTTAGTGTCCAGCGATATAGCAGTGACAACACCGTTATGGGAGGTATGCCCTCTCTTTTGCCATGTCCCATCAAGTGAGATGCCACATTCTCCATTCTCATTGTCAAGTCCTTCTTTCATTTTCATTGCACAAGACAACATACTGTCATTGGCCAACTGTTTCACAACAGGCAATAGTTTCTTATTTTGAATATTGGTGAAGTTTTGGCGACTTAGAGGAGCTGGCATGTTCATCACCTTGTTGAATGTAAGCATGGCGGAGTGTCCACGACCAATTTCACGAAATGCCAACACTGCTCTAACATTTATTTCATGGGAGTGACCTTGCTTCTTCGATGTATTAAAGCAATATTTCCACTCACATTCATCACTAAGACATTCAAGGATTATGTAATGGGAATAGCCATTTTCTTCCTCATGTCAAGATGAGAGTATATTACCACCACACTCGACAATAAAACATCATAAACACTTCAAAAAGCACAGACAAGTCAATGAAAATTGTACCTTCATTGACGTTTTTCATTGGAGGTGGACATTGTCGAATTTTCTCCGTATTGGTGCCAATTTTCATCCCGGAAGGGCCAGGATTTTCATCACAGTATCGGCCACGTTTGGCCATCTTCTTGATTTTTGATGGCGGAGTTCTAACCGCTTTTCTCTTTTTATTCCGTTTATTTCCCATAATTTTTAAAAGTAAGAATTACAAAAAATATACGAAAAATCAAATAAAACAAATATTTCAAGCGTAACTTAGTAAAACAAAGACTATTCTGACGATTTCAAGAGAGCACTTTCGAACTGCACGAGGCGAGCAAAGCGGTATGATTAGATGTCTTCGAGTCGTTGCTATGCCGACTAAATCCTACCAATTACAATGAATCTTTCCATAAGAGCTCTGAATAACATACACCAAAAGTACAGCTCGAAAACAGCTATTTTTTTGCTTTTTTTGTGGGTGAAATATGGTTAAAAACACGTTGCTATGGCGTTGCTAAGGTCGAAAATTTAGGACATGGTCTCTTTGGTGGCTTTTTTTTGATATTTTGCATTATTCTATCGCAAAATAGATCCTATGTTCATCAAGTACAATAATCAAAGTAACATAAACTGCAAAAAAAATTTTTCCAAAAAATTTGAAAAAAAACGTGTCTGAAAGGGAGATGACCACCTTAAACAACCTTAGTAATGTGTATATTATAACTGGAAACTACGACAAAGGTATAGAGCTTCACGAAAAAGCTCTGGAAATTAAAAAACAATCGTTAGGTCCAAATCATGTTGGTGTCACTACGTCTTTAAACAGTCTTGGTAATGTGTATAATGATACTGGAAACAACAACAAAGCGATAGAATTTCATGTAAAAGCTCTGGAAATTCAAAACAATCGTTAGGTCCAAATCATGTTGATGTTGCTGCGTCTTTAAACAATCTTGGTTTGTTGTTTAAAAAAACTGGAAACTACGACAAAGCTACAGAGTTTTACGAAAAAGCTATGGAAATCGAAAACAATGGTTAGGTCCAAATCATGTTGATGTCGCTGCGTCCTTAAACAATCTTGATAATGTGTATATTATAACTGGAAACTACGAAAGGTATAGAGCTTCACGAAAAAGCTCTGGATATTAAAACAATTGCTAGGTCCAAATCATGTTGATGTCGCTGCGTCTTTAAACAATCTTGGTAATGTGTATAATGAAACTGGAAACTACGACAAAGCTATAGAGTTTCTTGAAAAGCTCTGGAAATTCGAAAACAATCGTTAGGGACTAGTGAGGTTGATGTCGTTAAGTCTTTAGAAAATCTGGTGTGTTGTATTATGAAACTCTGGAATATGACAAAGCTTTACAGTTAGACTTGGTAGCTACGTGTTTCAAAGAAAATTGTAACTTCTAAATTATGTTAAGCCTATTTTAACCCATAGACCGTAGGAGCAAGGCTTCCACCTGCCAAGTCAGCTCCTCTCCCTCAGAAGGTATTTTGGTAGTGAATAAAACGTTTGCAATTTGCATTTTGTGAGATAAAATGAACCTAAAGATGTAATGGTAATTGTCTATTTATAGTTTTACTGATATCTAGTCAATAACCTTACTCTACATCCAGGAATCATCCTAAGTAGAACTTAGAACTGTCCATGTCCTGAATCTGACATTCTTCTTTAGACTTTATTTCTAAAGTAATTTGCTTATGTTATAAACCAAGTAGTAATTTTTATTGTATGATTTACAAACATACTAAAGTATATTGGAATGACAGAATTTTGTTAAATAAATACTATCCTGTTAGTTGGTCATATTCTTTGATGCATTCAGTAATTTTTTACCCAGTTCCATAAGCCTATGACCATATTCCAGGTTCCTATAATTTCCAGGGTACACCTTTCATACCATACATACCACCCCACCACCATGCTGCAGCCAATATTCCTGTAATTTGGATGGGAATTTCTTTAACGTGTGTTTTCTTATCTAATCCACATCCGAATCAGTCGCACCTAGCGCCACCTTAGCAGTCCCTATTTTGCACTGTTTCATTCAGTGCTTTGCGCCCGGTGCCACTAACGCTTAAAGTTGGAGCAAGCGCTTGCTGCATGACATGGATTAGATAAATGTACTTCAAAATATTTTAAGCAGACAGACGAAATTTAATATTTTTTGAAACAATTTAGAACACTTGAAGAAGCACACGTTGAGTTTGGTTACCGAGGGACCGTGGATGGTTTAACCAAACAACCGGCAGCGCTTGATTTAAGTTATGTTTTAGTTTGAAAATTATCACATAGATGACTACATAGCAACGCGAATGGTGAACATGGAAACCATCGTGTAACTATTTTGTATCATATGTGACAACGTCTGCGATTTGTCTTCATGGTAACCATCAAAGAAAACAAACAATGTGCTTTTATTAAAACTATGTTTCGTGTTAGTTTGGTTAATATGAAGCCATTCCGCATACTTAGACCTGGTGTAATAAACATTTTTTTATGCCTGTTTTTGCTGTGGCTTGCCGCATCGAAATTCCCTGGAATGAAGTTTTCTTAATAAGAAAACAACATATCCATTTTTATATTTACAGTAATTGCCACGCCGCTCCTAAACTGTAAATGTCTTGACAAACTGAAGACTATTTGAGTTTCAATTTGTCGATTTGAAAATGACTGACAAGATTAAAGTTTCCTTCGAAAGATTTTGAAAAATTTAGTCATTTCTCTTGATAGTGGAGTTCATCCTTTAAATTTATAAAGGTTCTAACCTCATATTCATTATCTAGGCGTAGCAACTACTCGCTGCAACTACAGCGCATGCCTAAGCTATCTAAACTTCTTACCTGCGCATGGCACCGGAATTCCGCCCTGAAAGGAATGCCCTTGAAGGAGGTAACCCATCATGCCCTTAACTTAACTTAACCTAGTGCATGTTGCACCTACGGGCGACCTCCAACCGGGGTGGGTTGAACTACTCATGCATTATAGGGGATCCATGCAGGAGTGCCTTAATAGTCAATGTAGAAAGCCGTTCATGAAATTGGCCAACTACAACGACTGCATGCTCTTACCGTACTAGGGAGAGATATTTTCTTTCCACCAAAACCACGATCTTCCCTTGGTCTTCAATAGGCCTTGCTCGCTTGATCCAGTCTTCAAAGGTCTTCTTACAGATGCTATTTGCATCCTCTACACTAAGGTACCATTTGTACCCACTAACCCCAAGTTGAAGTTGCCTTCCTTGGGGCAAACTTCACTTGCATTTCCGGTTCTAAGCTATGATCCTGCCTATCCTTCTGCGAGGCAACAACCGCTGCGATCATGCGTAGCTCCTTAAAGCAATATATTCACACAGAGGTTTTTCGAAGGTAAATTATATAGAACAACACAATTGTTGCATGTCAGTCACAGACTTAAAATAGTTGATACAAAAAAACACTGTTATTACCTCTTAATCAAGACTATTTTTTAAAATGCAGTTAGAAATTTCTTTAAATATATATATTTGCATTGCTGCATTAAAAAAATAGCCTTACAGTGGAATATACTGAACACCAGGATTTGTTGTGGCTATTGCCCGAATTATATTAGAGATTTGACCTGTTAACAGGCCTAACTAAATAAAAGGTTTATTATTATTAAACTTACGGTTTTTGACGAATCCTTGGCAGTTCGACGACAGACTACGATGAATGACAAATCTCATGCCAATTGTGAAGATGAAACGATCGGATGTTGAGCAAGGACAGCCACAAAAAAGCCCGAAATAATTTTTTGAAATGTTCAGAACGTTGATGGTGAAACCATCCTATCCAATTTTCAGGCTACCTGACAAACATCACCGCTTTTATGTCGACGACGGCAAGCACAGAAACAAGATTGGCCATTTCTTGCAACTGTGCATGTCGTCTACGGCATTAAATCGGAAATATCGACAGCCAGTCGGAAAATTAGGATTTTTAGGTTTTTTATTTTCATGTTAAAGAAATTCCATGTTTTTATTACAAAAGTTTTCAATTAAATAATGTTGAAATTTGGGCATTTGATAGCGGCGTGGTTTTATCCATCATTGCGATTGATTGACCAGTCGTGATGTTAGCAGGAAAATTCCCAGGAAAATGTTTTAGAAAAGGTCATAATATCGACTTTTCCATGGAAACAGACGTTAGGCTGATGGATGCGTTGCTCCAGAATAGTGTTTAGCGTTTGCATTCTTTGTAGAGAAGGTCTTTAGGGCATCAGAAGACACGTATTTTTTAATTTCATCAAAGTATATTGTTCATTCTTGATCATTGTTCAGAGGTCTTCGTTAAAGTAAATTGTTCATTCTTGATCATTCTACAGAGGTCTTCGTTAAAGTATGCTGTTCATTCTTGATCATTGTTCAGAGGATTTCATTAAAGTACGTATATTGTCCATTCTTGATCAGAAGGTTTCTACATAGGACAATTGAAGCCAATGTAAGTTCACACTACTATACTTCCATAAATGAAAAACATTGATAACATACTTACATTGAACATTTTATTCACTAGTAATGTAGTTCAAGGGAAGAAGAATTTCAACCAAATTACAGAATTGTATTTTGTTCTTATGTTTAGATGAGCGTCGAGGAACTGGTCGACAACAGCCACAATTCTCTTCAACCGCTGTGAACAATAACCACTTTCTTTAATTGTGAAGTCTACGATCATGGTAAATACACCAACATTTGTTCGTTGTTTCTCAATCTCATTTGATGACTAATTGTCGTTTAAGAGAAGAATGTCCATGTCTAAAATCAAGCATAGAGGAAACAAAAAATACTAAGACGAAAACTTTATGGAAAGGCCACACTGCACTTTGCATTAATGAACATCACATGCAGTGTCCCAATTCAATGTTTACTCAATGCAAAAGAACTTGAAACAAGACATTTACCTGAACATTTTTTCAAAGCACTCCAAGAGATATTTCACTATTGAATAATTTCCACTTCGGCTAACTATTCTTCGTGCAACTACCGACTTTCACGTTCAAGTAGCACGTTCTTAGTCTTAGACTATGGCCCAAGTTTGACGAACGTGTTGTATTCTGATTGGTCAGTGACTAGGTGTGTTGCAAAAGTGTTGTGTTGTTATTGGTCATTTACTAGGTGTGTCGTCAATTGTACATTGTGAAATCAGCTAAAATTTAAAATTTGCATGATTCATCACTTAGAATTAATCCCCATAGAGCGGTAAATGCAATTTAATACAATATAAATAAAAACGTATACTTCAGCTACAGCAAATAGCAAATCCCAAACATTTAAGTCACCTTGGGGAACAACTACAAGTTAACATATTTCTTTTAATTAGCATTCTACAAGGTGTACATAAAAACGACGTTTAGCAATTAAACTACTGTAAAATTTCAAAGCCCGATCACTGTGCTAATCTCACTAGTGCATTACATTTCCAATGGAAAAAAATCTTTTGTTCTTGAATCAACGTAGCTAACAATATTTCATGCACCTGTGGGCTTGGCATAGTGACAGACATTGAAATTATACAAAGATCTTCAGTGGTAAATGAAGGCTGACCAGCTAGTTTTGCACACATCAAAGGAGTGAATCGGATAGAAAAATAATATTACAGTGTATTTTTTATTTTTTTATTCAACTATCAGCCGATATTATATGTTGTCCCTTTTAAAGAATTTTCAATCTCCATGCGACAATAACTTTTCATGGCAACTTTTGTTCCGAATCTTTCCACATTCCTTTTTGTATGATAAAAATTAAAAAATTTAAGCACCTTCAAGCGTTCGATTTTCAGGCAGCTGACAAAATTTTATCTACTAGTTCCCAGTCTTCGCCATTCTAGGCATGCCTAAATCGTTCCACGTCCATGCCACCAATTCTAAAAGGAGATAATACTCTAGAGTAATGATATAAGTCTCTTTTTAACCCAGAAGATTAATAGATTTTAAATGGAAAAAAACATTTTCCATATTTGATCTTTTAAATTCATTGTTTTGAGTATCAATGTAGTCTTTTTGCAAAGTAACAAAATTACACATCATACAATAAAAGTTTCCCTGTAAAATAGGGTGAGGTTTTCCCTTCTGGTGGCTTAAATGCCAAGATTTTATTTTATTTTGATTATTGATACCTTACATTATACATACGAAGTACATACCTATCCCAGTCTGACTTGTACAATGCTATAGGTCCATACCCATCGTGTTCCCAGCGCCTATTGGGATGGTTCACAGTATAACAACAGTCCAGACGAATCAAGAGTGCATTAAATGTGGTTGTTTCCCTGAATACAATGTTAAAAAACAACACATACCAAACATTAAATGAAAGATATTTCTGTATTTTATCATTACATTACATTCTCTGTCATTGTTTAACTATATTTTACTTAAAGTAACGACAGTTTTTGTTCTGTTTATTATTCTTATTATTCATAATAACATGCAAATGACCAATACCAAACAAAATCAACCTTGTACTATCTAATTTTTATTCAACTGTTAATAATCTAGGTTTTGACACTAGTTAAAAACTCTCTAAACTTTATGTCAACTGATGACTGTTATTGTTTTTCCTTTCTTCACTTAAAAATAAACCATGTTTACTGTGTTTGCAAACGAAGAAGACCTTTTGAAGAACTTGCACCTGGTCGACATTTGGCCTCAGCTTTGAACTGATCTGTTCCCAAGTTCTCGTAAAAGGTTTCCATAAGCCTGTGCAAATACAGTAAGTCAGTAAACACTCTTTAATTCTTCAATATGATATATTTGGCAGCATGCATAGTAGGTGAGCATTTCTACTAGCTAAGAATTCCATAAGCTACAATCAAAATTATAACTTTGATACTTTAATTTTTAATTCATTATTATTTTACCTAACGTTCGTTTAATATAACTAATCTCACCTTACGTATATGATCAACAATAATGACAGGCATGGACAAGTGTAAATCACACACAAATACAATATCATTTGGATTTGTCACCACAGTCATAGCATACTGTAAACCAATTGATTTATGAAATTTAGACTTCATGTGGAGCAATACATATCGACGTATTCGACACTTTTCCAAAGCATGTTTGATATAGATATCTTTAGTGTGAAAATGGATAATGATAACATTTAGGAATTCATCTTTGGTTTCTTGATATATCTCTTCAAGATTATTAATAAAATGTTGCACCCATTGTCCCTGCCTACCGCCGACTGTCAACACAATATTTACAGTAGCATTTATGTTCCATTTATAGCCCACTGGTGAACAAATGCTACTTATCTAAATTTTTGTCTAATTGTCTACTTTTTCTGTCTACATTTTTGTGTCTAACATAGTGAAGCATCACTAAGAAAACAAATTAACTAGAACACAAAGCATGCTATTTAAAAAATTACAAGCAAATATATGTGTTATTATTTAGAGCAGTTTAATGTATGTTTTTCTTGACGTCAACACGTTAACTAAAAAATACTATAAAATGACATTTATAAAACAAATTTCGTGAAAAAACGAAATATTATTAATATTAATATGTAGAAATTGATATTTATATTATTGTTTCAGAATGCATCGAGTCTCACAGTCTCAATCAAAGACATCACGCAAAAGATTCTCTAAGATTTGGGCTTCTTTAACTATTTCTCCTTTATTCACTCCTCCGTCTTTAATTAATCAACGTTATTGTTACGGCAAAACAACAGCAACACCACCTTTTCTTGGATCATATTTTGCGAATAGGTATCCCGATTTAGTTCTATAACTTCCTTGAACGACAGAGAATCATCGTGATCCTTTCATTTTGTGTCACAGATCCTTCAAGTCAATGAAAACAGACTCTGGAATATTGTCATGAATATAATTTTTCTCAATGTAAACTGTATTAGGAAACAGTTGATGATGCAAGCGACCTCTTTCGATGGACTCCTCAAGACTCAAACCAAACCAAAGCTTATTTAACAAAACCTAAAAAAGTATCGTTTCCATGAACTTTTGAATGATTTGATCCACAAATATCAAACTCAGAAATGACAAATGTAATAATATCCATAATGATATGTACTGCTTATCGCTTGTAAAATTAACTATTACTGTCAAAGGAGTTGAGTGGGATGGGGTGCTCTGGGGGTAGAAATATCGTGTATTTGTAATAATGTATACTTTTTCATATTGCTCGACCAAAGAGTTTCCAGTTACAGCGGGCTAACCACGTGACACATTCAGTGAAAGATAAAAAAAAGAGCACAAGATACAAACATTGAAAACAGAATCATCCTTACTTACTACAGCCACACCAGTTATTATTCTCAATCCACCCGAACCCCCAAGAACCATTTTCACGTCACCTTTTAAATCAACAACTATAATTGGACAAGCTGTTCATACAGAGCGTTTCCCAGGTTGAATAAACTTGGCTTTCGACGCTTTTGGTTGATAATTTTTTGATGTGTTTAGTAACGAAAATGAACTCATATGATTGTTGTAGACTATCCCTGTTGTATAGGATCGAATCTTTGCACCAAAACTGAATAAAAAAAAGTAATTGTATGTGGTTATAAATAGCACAAGGAAAATGAGCGAAGCTGCAAAGCAAACTGCTAGATGCATGCAGCGTTTTGACGTAGTTGTGTTCCATTGGAAAGATTGTTTTGTGCTCCAGTGTAGTGTTAACTGTGTAAAATACTAGCATGATCCTTAAGCTCAAACAATAAATGCAGTTGTGTAAAAGAGTGGTAATTGACCGTCCATCACCGTAGCCAATACAATGAGATAAAGTTGTAGCTTTCAAATTGAACTACGAAAATGCTTACAAATAACCAACTGTGCTAGTGACACAGCATCTCCAGTTGACAAAATTACTGATACATGTGTAGTCCCAGAGTCTTTTCTGGTGGAGTAAAACCCTTCATAGTAAAAGCTATCGTGTGTTTCATTGTTCCATAGCTTTTTTCGCAAATCTTCAGCATACGTTGTATTTATTTGAACATCCTGGTACTGGAAAATAAAAATCACCAATTTAAGAAAGTAATATATTATAATAGAAATATAATGAATGAATATTATAATGAAACATAATTCAATATTTGAGAAAAAACTTAAGACAAGAAAAACAAGACAATTTTTATTTTAACAGTAATATTTCGAATTTATTACAAATTCATCATCAGAGTCTACATAGAATTGACTTGATTTTTCTCACATATTGAGTTAAACATGAACTTTTTATTCGGAGTATGTTTCATATTATACTAAAAAAGTAAACATGTTTATATTTTATGTGATATAAGGAGTGTTTACTTTATCGACTGTTACTTTCATGATTTCTGGGGTTTATAAAACTTTTTTTTTCTCTTTCGCTCGTTTATCACTACCTACACAAAATAATGTTTTTCTATTGTCTTAACTTAACGTACTTTTTCAACATTAGGATGAAATTCTGGATCACCAATGAACGGACGATAAGCATACCCGAACTTAAACGCGTCCAAAATTCGATGCCATGTTAGTGTCTGCTTGTTACCTGTTATGGAGTCGGGACCAAACTTGAAACCTAAAATAACGAAGAAGTCGTCAGTGAAATGTGCATTCAGAACTAACATATGATTGATAAACGCTCATTAAATTTACAAATATAAGTTGTTATGACACCAGTTTCAACTAATATTTACTTTGACAATAGTCTAATGTTATTCGGTTCTTTTCGTGAACAATGACAACCAAACCTTTTAAAATGTTAAGTATCATTAAGGAGCTGCTCTAATTGATAGAGATTTATCTCTCTCATAAAAATTTTCAATGTCCTTCCAGCAAGCCGAATATTTTCCAAATTGTAAGGTGCTGTTCATGAGGTTATTTCTTGTGCACTTGAGCAGATGTGGAGGATCAAACATTAGAAATATATTTTTCTTCCATTGTGAACAAACCATGGCTTCTCGTTGGTGACATTCAATTTTTGTGACATACTGTAGAAGTTGGACCCCATATCTGATATTACCACACAAATGTTCAACCCAATCAAATCAAGCTTGCAAATGACTTCTTTGATCAAATCTTGCAAAACATCAACTGGACAAGATTCATTAACAAGTACATACCCCAAAGGTTGCTTCCAAACTCCAGATATGCTTTGAAGCATGAATACAAGACCTGATGTTGCCAATTTTTTGTTCGATATCCACCAAAGTCCTCTACTCCTACAATCTTATCTTCTGTGATGTTGTTGTAAAGGTGTGTTTTTAATGACATCTCATCAACACAAAGAGTGCACAGCTTTTCCATATCATTCATGTAACACACTTTTTCTTTCAACAGATTTAAGGTTGCCTGAGGAATACCAGCTGCTATTGGAATTCGTGAAACAAACCGTCTAATTGAAGACTTTGTTGGCAGAATAAACAGCTTGGAGAGGAGGCTATATGCTTTGCCAATAGCATAATACAATGAAACTGCTAAGGACTTCATTTCTGGTGAGTACCTTCTTCCATGTTTTTTTGTTGAAAGTAAATTCATTTGCAATTCTATGAAATTAGCCAGTTATATTAGCCATAATATCTTGGAATCTTGTCTATGGTTTGCAAAGAACATTTGCTAGGGACAACTCTAGAACCAACACTTATTAGCACATCAATTCCTTCTTCTGACCCAAGCAGTGACTGCACTTCCTCATTGCAACTGCATTGCAACAACTACAATGTTATAAAGAAATAAAACAGTATGACTTGTAAGTGGATGCACAGCATACTTTTATATCAAGTGGCCATACAGCTGTTACAATCATTATGAGTTGTATGTGGATGCACAGCATACTTTTATATCAGGTGGCAATACAGCTGTTACAATCATTATGAGTTGTATGTAGATGTACAGCATACTTTTATATCAGGTGGCAATACAGCTGTTACAATCAGTGCATGTTGCCCATTATAAATTATTGTGATAAATATCAGTTCTATCAATTTTAAAGTACCTTCTCTGAAAAAGTTTTGATTTCTGATGCTGGTAAATCATCTAAAGTTAGTTTGAGCTGCTCACACAGACCTGAAACCACATAGTCATAAGCCCAAGGTTTTAAAATGCATGGTGACGGACCACATTGCAAAATGGAGGCAGCCATAAGATTTCCAGCATACAAAATTCATTCTCTGTCATTGCTGATGTTGAGATAATGGGAACACCAGTTATGAACAGTCGTTGTGTAATTTCTGTAAGAACTTCTGCAAACATAAAGGATTTTTTAAATTCTCTACATATAAATATGTGACAATGACTGTTTAAAGGCAATAGACTTTTGTACTTTTTAAAAACAAAAAATGGATGAGTCAAACCTGTTAAAAATTCTTTCCTTGGTCTTCCAGTACCTTGAGCAGGCTCACCAATAAAACTACTTTAAGTTTATTTTCATCGATAATCCAGCTACAACATTTTCTTGTCTCAATGTAATCAGCAAATAGCTGGCCTCTCCTTACATTTATTCTAGATTGTGCTTTGGGATTTTTCACTAACGCTTCAAGAATATCTGAAATTGACTTCACACCAGTATCCAAACTCACATATTCAGTGACATCTCCACTTGTGTGTCCTTCTGCAATATCAACTGAAAGTTCAAATTTTCTTTCTTGATAAAATGCCCGTCAGTTAGCATTTTCTTCACATATGTCTGCATGTAATACAATGTCTTTATCTACAAAATTTCCATGACAAGTGGGACACTGCACATAAATATTTTTATTTCTAGGATTTGTAAGGCAATGCCCAAATGGCAAGGCTGTTTGGGAAGATTCGTTTCTTTTAGAAGTGAAAGAAAAATCAGACTTTGATGTTGACAAGCCATCTCGATTTAGTTAAAAGGACATAGTAGGTTCATTGGATATCTCATCAGGTAAGGAATGAAAATCATAAAAGTCATCATCATCAGAAGACAGTACTGAAAAATCTACGACTTGTTTCTTATTTCCTTAAGTTTCATACTTATTTTCAGTAGTCTTTTAAGTTGACTTTGCTACCAGAACAAAATATTGATCATGATCAGAGTGTTTTTTTATGTCAGCGCCAGTACTTTCTCCCTATCAAAATCTTTGCAAACTTTTACAGGTAATTTGGAGCCTCTTTTCACTGTTAGAGTACCATCGTTTACGGTGATTATGTCTACCTGTATTACAACACGATTATCCACAGGCTTTTTTGAAGGTGGACATTGGCTAGTTGATTTCCTTTTCGATGACGAGCTCGAGATCTTCGTGTTAAATCCTACTCTACATTCTCCTTTTATAGACATGTAATGGTCTAATGTCTTCGCCTGATTACATACAGACAATTTTGCTTCTACTTTAGATCAGCATTTGAAACAAAACCTGTCCGTAAAACTTAGTTCATTTCCACAAGTTCCTTTTTCCGCCATTTTGTTACGGGAATGACATGTCTTAAAAGTTTTGTGATCATACTTCATGTTGGACAACATTTAGGTGTCTAAATTCTGATCAAAAAATATTTACGGATTTGAAAAATCTTTTCGGATTTTCAAAGTATTTTCCCATTTAGAAATATATTTTTACATTTTCGATATATAATTACAGACTGGAAATATTTTTTTGGATTTGAAAAATATTTTGCGATTAAAAATATATTTTCACAGTGGCCCTTCTCGGCTTCCGTACAAAATACCAAGGGAACGGTAATGAAATTCAAACATGTTAACAGAAACAATAAAAATCATAAGGCCGTATCTTTGTTTTACATAACAATAAAGGCCCAAAATTATTTGCCACGTATCAACTCAAACGACGCTGACATTTGAAACTTAACTTATCAGAACGTTAAATCTATCTAAAAGTTCAACTGTTCAAAGCTTCCTGCCATTAACCAGTAAAAGGTTTGTAAAACAAAAGATAAAGAATTTTCGTGCTCGATTACGACGTATAAATATGCCCATGGAAGCTTATAATTCTGTAATTGTACATTAATCAAAGTCAAACAAAGTTACAATTCCAAACAACAACAATATGCTTACAAAAAACAAATCATTGCGATCTTAAACAAGGTATGTTTACGTTGATGTGTTCGTTTATATAGAAGTTAAAATGATTGTTATAGTAACTATTAGTCGTTGGCCCACAAGGTCTGTTTGTAAAATATGTGTTATTTCATTTTTCACCTTATGGCTTGTGTTATTATTGAAGGAAATTTATGACTCAATTTTTACTTTGAAATCGCAAATGGATAAATGCATGTCATCATTGAATATTTTAGACATTTAAGTCGTTTTAGAAGTAGAAATATTGATCAGGAAGTGTGTTATCTTTGTGATAAACTAGTTTGTAAGTCCACATTTTAAATGCGGCTAAAGAATTTGCTAATCTTTTTGACGTTACAATTGTCTTTCGTCAAGCTTTGGTTGCGAAGGTTCATGTATGCAAATTCATCGCATTATAGTCACAATAAATTTAAAAGCAGATATGAGTATTGCAACTTATTAATTCTTTTTAACACTCCCACTTTATGATCATATCTTAAATTAAACGAGAAAAAGTTGCGAAATCAGACATTGTAAATTTTCATACGTTCAGTATGTAGCTGAGGTTTATCACCACGTACTTACTTCCAAAATGTATTAAAAACGGTATAATTTAGTAAAATTTATACTTATTTCTATTGATCAATTTGTTACAAATTATATTCAAACTTATGAACAAAAACAATAAAAATTATAAAACCATATCTTTGCTTTACATAACAATCTATTCTTAAGATGTTTTAAATTCCGTAGCGCAGAAACATTTTCCACATATCGACTCGAAGGAAGAATATATGATGCTTAACTTGTCAGAACTTTAAATCTTTCTAAAAGTTCAACTGTTCAAGGCTACACGACAAAAACAAACAATTTTCATGCTTGAGTACGACGTATAAATGTGACCCATGGAAGCTTGTAATTCTGTAATTGTAGATAAATCAAACGAAGTTACAATTCCAAACAAGAGCAATATGCTTACCAAAAACAAATCACTGCCATCTTAAACAAGGTAAGGCTTTTTTAAAGGATATTTAATTATTTATGACTCACCACGAAGTACATTTACTTTAAAATAGCAAATGGACTCATGCATGTCATCATTGAATAGTATAGAATCTATACTATAGATATTTATTGTCGATTTCAGTTAACTTTTCAAATGGCGGTTGCCAAGTTACTTTCTAATGTTGCCAGTTACATTTCCAAATATGGAATATTCGATATGAACTTGTCAACTTGAGTTAACAAGTTGTGTACTTGAGTAGTGAAGTTGTGAACTAAAGTTGCGAAGTACTGGCAAACGCGAAAGTTCTTTGTACCCTGTAGACATTTGGCAACGAATCCGTTCAGTAAGCAAGGAAAAGCTTTACCAATAGAAGTAAGAAATGAAATACTTGAAATGTGATTAAATAACGAGCGTTTGAAAAACATTTCGAAGCAATTAAATCTACCGTATAAGACTATATCAAATATATTAGATCTATGGGTAGACACTGGTTCTATTGCAGCTCGACAGAGCGTGCATGTCATCATTGAATAGTATAGATATTAAAGTCGTTTTCGAAGTAGCAATATTGATCAGCAAGTGTGTTTATTTTTGTCATAAACTATAGTGTCGCTTATTAAATTTTGTAAGTCAACATTTTAAATGGGGCTAAAGAATTTTTCTTATCTTTGTGACGTTGCAATTGTCTTTCGTCGATGCTAAGTTGTTGACGCTAAGGTTGTTATGTGCAAATTCATCGCATTAAATAATACAATACTGAAGATCTCTGATTTCCTATCAACTTGATAACCTTATAAGTACAGCTAGGCAATCTGTGCAATCTGCACATCTGTGTAAAAGGAAGCATGCATGTGTGACATCATTCGTGTCACGTGTCCTAAGATATGAATATTACAACTTATTAATTCCTTTTAACACTCCCACGTAATAGTCATATATTAACATAAATATATGACACGTCATTTCCATGATATTGAACATTTTTATAACTTCATCAATACAGTTAGAAAATCAAATAATTTTGGACATCACGTGATACATCAGTGAAAACACAAACTGTGCAACAGCCGTTTCTTACGTCACTTCTGGCATTCAAGACAAAGACAAAACATAAATTTCCATATGACTTTGGACTTTCTATAGTTGTCCTTATTCTGATTTATAATGTCGTCTGAATGACAGCTCTTTTTTAAACAAATAAAAGACAATGTTGTCAATATTTTTCTCCTTTTTTCTGCCTTTTATCCTCATTATAACGTTTCACAGCCTCTCTTCTTGTCTTTTAGAATAAAACTTCCTGGTTAACATCCTTGTCCATAATGTTTAACACTTGCAAATATGAAAAAAGTTATTTCATTTTTTATGATTCTCGAAAACGTCGAAAATGATGCTTTTTATACATAGCCAATGCTGTTCGCAGCAGCACACATTCACAAAAAACAAACTTTAATTTCTCCCTTATCGAAACTGTTAGAATCTGCTATCTCTTAGTTTTCTCTTCAAGAGGTGCGTACCATAGAGATGGGTTACAAGTTACGAACATTCTGATTCATAGTATTTTGCGAACTAAAAGGTCTTTGTAAAAGCTCATAGAAATTATATCTGAAAACTTTTATCGTATTTGTAGATACACGTTCTAAAAAAGTTACGACCAATAGGCAATATTCAACTTTCGAGTTTACGTTAATGATCCCCTCAAAACGCGTTGGTTTATCAACATAGATAAAAATTTTCATTTCGTATTAAAATTTAATCAAAATAGTGGTTCATGGTCTAAAGATTGATAAAGCATTTTACCATTGCCAAACAATTGTCGTACATAGTCACAGAAAAACAAGATCTTGTGTTACAACATGTTGTAAAACAAATATATTTGTAAAATCAAGTTTCAATTAATGCGTTAGAGTCAATGAAATTAAATAAACATAAACCTTAGTAAATTGAAAAAAGACCATTAGCTACAACATTATAACATATTCTTAGATACAGAGACATGACATTCACAAATGACTATGCAAATTATTAAAGAATATATTCTTATCTCTGTTTTGTAACGTAAACTTTAAGGTAAAATATCATGTTTTTTTAATTTTTCTAAAGGTTGTTTGACAGGATACTGCAGTTGGTAAAAGCAGTAGCATACATGCTCTCTGTCATTATTAGCTTTTAGGTTCTTTTGTAATTTTAAGACGATTTTTGGTGAAGTTAAATCAATTAAAAAATAAGTTTGATTTCGTCATCATGTTAATTCGGACGTCAATGGAACCCAATAAGGGTTGTATAATACTTTTTATTTGCTTGATTTTTATCTTGATATATACCAAATTTTTGTACAGATGGAATCGCCAGGAATAAGAAATCTGTCTTACATTCAGCAAATAATTAACGTGGTGCAAAAGGAACTTGCTCAGTTTTTCATTAAACAATGGAACTCTCGTTACAAATCAACTTATGGAGAATGGGATGATACACACATCAGTGGTAACAAATTTTACAATTTAGAATCAAGAAGAAAGTTAGACCAAAAAACTCGACAAAAATATCAAGATGGAGATACCAGTAAGTGGGACTGTACGATATTATTTGATGCAATAATTTTTTCAAATTCAATTGGAAAGCACCTTGACAAAAAAACAAAGGATGCTGTTCATGCACTTCGTTGTGAAAGAAACAAGTACGCACATTGGTATGAAAGGGAATGCTCAGATGATGATTTTTATGATATAGTCAATATCATTGAAAAATCATTTCAAGATTTGAAATTTTCTCTTAATGAAATCATTGAAATAAAAAAGCATCGAAACTGTTTTAATTCGTTCGAAGTTCTTCCTTCAAAATCTAATCATTTTTTTGTTGAACGAACTGAATTACGAGATAAAATTATAAAAGATCTTGAAAAATTAAGCAATGATAACAATGATAAACTGACATATTTTTACATCACTGGTAATCCTGGCAGTGGTAAATCGCAACTTGCAAGACAGGTTTGTGAAAAAATATCGTGTGATTGGAAAAATAGAACTTCGTTTGTAATGACTCTCGATGGAAAAATGAGGAATCTCTTTAAAAACTTACTGTGAACTTGGCTACCGTTTAAACTGTGACAAGTATATGATTAAAAAATTTGAAGATGAAAATTGTTCCATCGCAGACAAAGTGAAGAATTTGCGATCGTTAGTATCCACACGATTAAAATTCTGGCAAAATTGGTTGATCATTGTAGACAACGTGGCACAGCTTAGCAAAATTTCTTCATTACTCCCCCAAGTTGGTGATCCCATGTGGATAAATGGACAAATCATAGTAACTATCCAGAACACAGATGCCGTACCTCAAGACGATGAGTTTAACAAACATATTTCTATCAGAAGTGGAATGAATGATAAAGAATGTTGTCAACTGTTGAATATTACACTAAAGATGATAATACTGATGATCAATTGTTGAATGAAGTATCCACGCATTAGATCGTCAACCGCTGGCTTTGGCTGCTGCTGGTTATTATGTCAGTCGTGTAAACAAAGCAAACTGCTCATTTACTTGGAAACAATATTTAAAGAAAATATTTTCAGAAGAACAAGAAAACATGGACGCCACTTTTGTTAAATTTAACTCGGTATATCCTAGAAGTATGTTACAAGCTTCACTTTTAGCTGTCAGACAAAATGCTGAAGAATCCTCAATATTGGCAAATGTTATTAACTTTTTTTCCGTGATATCGTTTGATCCTATACCACGAGACATTATTGTTTTTATGTTCAAAAATAGATCCCAAACACTCAAAGGAAGATATATGTCTTTGTTTAAAGGACTGCTCATTGTTCTTGCATTCAGAAAATAATGACATTAGTCTACATCGCGTTGTTCACAAAGCAATTATTGTTTATCAATGTGAACATTCAAATGAAGAACATGAAATGGAAAATAACGTTGATCAAATATCTAAAGCACTTTACATGTTTAAAGAGAGAGACGACGAAATCAAATTAATGCCACATCTTGAAAAAATTGTTCAATTATTAAAGACCAACAAGACAAAAATCAACATGAACACTTTACAAGTTTTCCAATATTTTGTTGACAAATTAAGACATTTTGGAAAATACGATCTTGCTCTTGAACTATTGGATAATTTTATATCAGAAGAATCTGGTTATGACAAAGCTTGGTATTTTAGTGTCCTCGGTGTTTTATACCTTGACACCGGGAAGTATAGCAAAGCTAAAAATCATCATGAAAAGGCTCTGGAAATTCAAAAACAATCGTTAGATCCAAATCATGTTGATGTCGCTGCGTCTTTAAACAATCTTGGTAATGTGTATATAAACTGGAAACTACGACAAAGCTATAGAGTTTCACGAAAAGCTCTGGAAATTCAAAACAATCGTTAGGTCCAAATCATGTTGATGTCGCTGCGTCTTTAAACAATCTTGGTAATGTGTATTATGAAACTGGAAACTACGACAAAGCTATAGAGTTTTACGAAAAGCTCTGGAAATTCAAAACAATCGTTAGGTCCAAATCATGTTGATGTCGCTGCGTCTTTAAACAATCTTGGTTTGTGTTTAAAAACTGGAAACTACGACAAAGCTAAAGATTGTCACGAAAACGCTGTGGAAATTCGAAAACAATCGTTAGGTCCAAATCATGTTGATGTCGCTATGTCTTTAAACAATCTTGGTAATGTGTATATTAATACTGGAAACTACGACAAAGCTATAGAGTTTTATGACAAAGCTTTGGCAATTCGAAAAGAATCGTTAGGTTTAAATCATGTTGATGTCGCTGCGTCTTTAAACAATCTTGGTAGTGTGTTTTATAAAACTGGAAACTACGACAAAGCTATAGAGCTTTATGAAAAAGCTCTGGAAATTCAAAAACAATCGTTAGGTCCAAATCATGTTGATGTCGCTGCGTCTTTAAACAATCTTGGTAATGTGTATTATGAAACTGGAAACTACGACAAAGCTATAGAGTTTTACGAAAAGCTCTGGAAATTCAAAACAATCGTTAGGTCCAAATCATGTTGATGTCGCTGCGTCTTTAAACAATCTTGGTAGTGTATTATAAAACTGGAAACTACGACAAAGCTATAGAGTTTTACGAAAAGCTCTGGAAATTCAAAACAATCGTTAGGTCCAAATCATGTTGATGTCGCTGCGTCTTTAAACAATCTTGGTAATGTGTTTATAAAACTGGAAACTACGACAAAGCTATAGAGTTTTACGAAAAGCTCTGGAAATTCAAAACAATCGTTAGGTCCAAATCATGTTGATGTCGCTGGTCTTTAAACAATCTTGGTATGGTGTTAATGAAACTGGAAACTACGACAAAGCTATAGAGTTTTGAAAAGCTCTGGAAATTCAAAACAATCGTTAGGTCCAAATCATGTTGATGTCGCTGCGTCTTTAAACAATCTTGGTAATGTGTTTTATAAACTGGAAACTACGACAAAGCTATAGAGTTTACGAAAAGCTCTGGAAATTCAAAACAATCGTTAGGTCCAAATCATGTTAATGTCGCTAAGTCTTTAAACAATCTTGGTAATGTGTTTGAAAAAACTGGAAACTACGAGAAAGCTCTAGAGCTTCACGACAAAGCTCTGGAAATTCAAAAACAATCGTTAGCTCCAAATCATGTTGATATCGCTGGGTCTTTAAACAATCTTGGTAATGTGTATTATGAAACTGGAAACTACGACAAAGCTATAGAGTTTTACGAAAAAGCTCTGGAAATTCAAAAACAATCGTTAGGTCCAAATCATGTTGATGTCGCTGGGTCTTTAAACAATCTTGGTAATGTGTTTTGAAACTGGAAACTACGACAAAGCTATAGAGTTTTACGAAAAAGCTCTGGAAATTCAAAACAATCGTTAGGTCCAAATCATGTTGATGTCGCTGCGTCTTTAAACAATCTTGGTTGTGTATTATGAAACTGGAAACTACGACAAAGCTATAGAGTTTACGAAAAGCTCTGGAAATTCGAAAACAATCGTTAGGTCCAAATCATGTTGATGTCGCTGCGTCTTTAAACAATCTTGGTATGTGTATAATGAAACTGGAAACTACGACAAAGCTATAGAGTTTACGAAAAAGCTCTGGAAATTCAAAAACAATCGTTAGGTCCAAATCATGTTGATGTCGCTGCGTCTTTAAACAATCTTGGTAATGTGTTTAATGAAACTGGAAACTACGACAAAGCTATAGAGTTTTGAAAAAGCTCTGGAAATTCAAAACAATCGTTAGGTCCAAATCATGTTGATGTCGCTGCGTCTTTAAACAATCTTGGTAATGTGTTTTATAAACTGGAAACTACGACAAAGCTATAGAGTTTTACGAAAAGCTCTGGAAATTCAAAAACAATCGTTAGGTCCAAATCATGTTGATGTCGCTGCGTCTTTAAACAATCTTGGTAATGTGTTTATAAACTGGAAACTACGACAAAGCTATAGAGTTTCACGAAAAAGCTCTGGAAATTCAAAACAATCGTTAGGTCCAAATCATGTTGATGTCGCTGCGTCTTTAAACAATCTTGGTAATGTGTTATGAAACTGGAAACTACGACAAAGCTATAGAGTTTCACGAAAAGCTCTGGAAATTCAAAACAATCGTTAGGTCCAAATCATGTTGATGTCGCTGCGTCTTTAAACAATCTTGGTAATGTGTTTTATAAACTGGAAACTACGACAAAGCTATAGAGTTTACGAAAAAGCTCTGGAAATTCAAAACAATCGTTAGGTCCAAATCATGTTGATGTCGCTGCGTCTTTAAACAATCTTGGTAATGTGTTTATAAAACTGGAAACTACGACAAAGCTATAGAGTTTCACGAAAAGCTCTGGAAATTCAAAAACAATCGTTAGGTCCAAATCATGTTGATGTCGCTGTCTTTAAACAATCTTGGTAATGTGTATTATAAAACTGGAAACTACGACAAAGCTATAGAGTTTACGAAAAGCTCTGGAAATTCAAAAACAATCGTTAGGTCCAAATCATGTTGATGTCGCTGCGTCTTTAAACAATCTTGGTAATGTGTTTATAAACTGGAAACTACGACAAAGCTATAGAGTTTCACGAAAAGCTCTGGAAATTCAAAACAATCGTTAGGTCCAAATCATGTTGATGTCGCTGGTCTTTAAACAATCTTGGTAATGTGTTATAAAACTGGAAACTACGACAAAGCTATAGAGTTTCACGAAAAGCTCTGGAAATTCAAAAACAATCGTTAGGTCCAAATCATGTTGATGTCGCTAGTCTTTAAACAATCTTGGTAATGTGTATTATAAACTGGAAACTACGACAAAGCTATAGAGTTTCACGAAAAGCTCTGGAAATTCGAAAACAATCGTTAGGTCCAAATCATGTTGATGTCGCTGCGTCTTTAAACAATCTTGGTAATGTGTTTTATAAAACTGGAAACTACGACAAAGCTATAGAGTTTCACGAAAAGCTCTGGAAATTCGAAAACAATCGTTAGGTGCAAATCATGTTGATGTTGCTACGTCTTTAAACAATCTCCGTTTATTGTTTAAATCAACTGGAAACTACGACAAAGCTATAGAGTTACATGAAAAAGCTCTGGAAATTCGAAAACAATCGTTAGGAACTAGTCAGGTTGATGTCGTTAAGTCTTTTAAAAAATCTAGGTGTAATGTATTATGAAACTCGGGAATATGAAAAGCTTTACAGTTACACTTTGGTAGCTACGTGTTTCAATGAAAATTGTACCTTCTAAATAATGTTACGCCTATTTTTAGCACATAGACCGTAGGAGCAATGCTTCCACCTGCCAAGTCAGCTCCCCCTCTCCCTCAGAAGGTATTTTTGGTAGTGAATAAAATGTTAGCAGTTTGCATTTTGTGAGGTAAAATGAAACTAAAGATGTAATGATCCTTGTCTATAAATAGTTTCACTGATATCTAGTCAATAAACTTACTCTACAGCCGGGAATCATCCTAAGTAGAACTTGGAACTGCACATGCCCTGAATCTGACATTCTTCTTTAGACTTTATTTCTAAAGTAATTTGCTTTTATGTCATAACCAAGTAGTAATTTTTATTGAATGATTTACAAACATACTAAAGCATATTGGGATGACAGAATTTTGTTAAATAAATACTATCCTGTTAGTTGTTCATATTCTTTGATACATTCAGTAATTTTTTACCAAGCTCCATAAGCCTATGACCATATTCCAGGTTCCTATAATTTCCAAGGGGTACACCTTTCATACCATACATACCACCCCACCATGCTGCAGCCAATATTCCTGTACTGTCACTATCTCCACCATAAAACATAGAACAAGAACACAATTGAAACCAGGAATCTTTTGCCATCATCAAAGCATCGTAAGCAATCATTGGTGCATCATGACCACTGGACCCACCCCAACCTGCATAACTGACAGATTCTAAAAAAGCATCACGTTAAGGTATGTTATATGTCACTGGAAATTTTGTTTCACTGGTTCCATTCTTAATCCCCGTAGTTCAAGATATGACTCCCAACTATTTTTAAAGTAGCCCCAAGCTTTCTTTCTTGTTTTCTTCTAACATCACGACCAACCTTCTCAATGTATTCCCAAACTTTGGGTAAAACACTTAAAAGTCCTGCTCCCCATTTTTTTGGAGTCATCTTCTGTAGAGCATAGGCTGTAAATAAAGCTGCAGTAACAGCCCCAAGATAACCTATAATTAAAATCATTATCTTTAAAGATTGCTAATTTTAGGTCACTTACATTATGATGACCCTATTTACATAATAGCGGCATTTTGATATGGATCATGGATTCAATGGCTGTAGTAGTGAAGATATTAAAGCAAAACAGCAATGGCAATTCAAACAGTTTTAGAAGACAGAAATTTGGAAATGTGGAAAAGCGATAAAAGGATGGATCAAAGATATGGTCATTTAAAGTGAGCAATGTTAGATGGATGGAAGCATTTGAGATGTGGTTCTAGAAAATGATGGATTGCATAGACTTATGCAAACCTAAGGTCAACCTTCTTTTATTTCATTTATAAATTGATATTAGATAAAAGGATATGAAACATTCATGGTAATGGCTTGATCAAGTAAGTAATCGAAGGAAGAGTTGAAGATAAAACATCTAAGAAAAGCAAAAGGATTGAAAAGCTAAATTACTATAAAGGTTTGTTAAAATGAAAAGCAATGCAGATAACAGGAAAACCTAGCAAACTTTATACAAAGCAACACTTGTTGATAGACAAAACACTAGACATTAGTGACTTGATAATTGATACATGATCTGAAATCGTTGCTTTATTATGAAAGGTGAATACCTGTGGGGTGATTATGAGTCATCCTTCCACTTTCAACAGCAATTTCAATTAACATTTCAATTTGATCTTCACAAGGAAACATCAAACCTATACACATGGATCTCATAGCTGCACCACATCCTCCACCTCGTTCATTAAATGGTATAATGTAACCTTTTTCCTCAAGAGGTCGTAACATGAAACATGCCTTTGTTGTGGTCTGCCCAGGAGCTCTTTCCCACATATCCTCAGCACATGTCTTCTTGTACTTTGTAGCCATAATGCTCAATAACTCTTCCGTTGTTGTCCATTCAGAAACCAACGCTTCTGCTGTAGCAATGTGTAGTACAGTGTCGTCACTAACCCTCCATCCTTTAATGTCAATTTTATCAAGTCCTCCGAGTTTTTCTAGTTCTTCATGAATTTGAGTACCACTGTAACAGAATTCCCACAAACCATTCTTATAACCTAGAGCATCCCCACTCCACTGAGAACCATAACTGCTTCGTATTTCTCGGATAATTGGACCGTATTTTCAAGAGCCATTTTAATATGTTTACTTCACCGTAGTTTAATGAATTTTTGAAACACGGGAAAGTACTAAGCTTCCCTCAACTTAGTCAACTAATAAAACGTAAAATCTTTTCTTTGCTTTGTTTCAATATTGTTTCATACTATTGTTTAGATTTAGACGAGAGCGTTGGGAGACTGGGACTGTTATTTTGTAATCCTTAATCTTTACCCGATTCCATGATCTTCAATCTGATTAACATGTTGCTTCTTGCAGATTCTTTAAAATTTAAAAGTTCCTTCCTTATATCATGGATTATCCGACACGGATTTAATCCAAACTTGACATTTGATTGCACATATACTAAAAAACAGTGTATTGGGAATCGAACCCAAAGACTAAATTTTCCGCTCTTTGAAGATACCCAACAGTTGGGCTGTTTTTTTCTTGGAAAGTTCAGACGATTTTGGCTATTGTACATATTTTGAATATTATATAGTTCCAAAATTTGATCTTTGTAGAATTTTTGAAGCTCAAATTTGGTAAGTTATTGCTTGATCGTAGTAGACAAAAACAGGTCAAGAGCTTTGTCGTTCAATTACACTTCACAATTTAAAGTCACAAACAATAAACAATTATCAGCTTTTTATAATACCGGTTTAGCATTAAAATGCTTAAATATCCAACTTTACGCCCAAATACATGCAAGTTTAACTTTCACATTTACAATAAGTGTTAAGTAAATAAATATAAAAAATGATTAAACTGAAATCACCCAAACTGTTCTAAAATGCAGAATTGCTTAAACATGACGCTGTTTTTAACGAAAGTGAAGATGGCTGTAAATTTTAGCTGATAGACCCTAGGTTCGCTCAGCTAAGCATCCATAGCCTTCAAATTGCATTTCTTTTGTTCCATGGTTGTATATGACAAGTAGTACAAGTTTAGTCCCACACCAAGGTCACTGTTTTTTTTGATGACTTAACCGAAATAAAAAATCCCTAATGGAAAAACCTGAACGGTATAAACCAAAACCGAACACAACGGCACGAGAATTTGGAGAATACTGAAGAGGAAAAAACCATTAGGGATTTCAGCCGAAGTTCCGCGCCCGGGGACCCTTAGAAACAAAATCTTTACTTACCTTTGCAACGATGCAAATACCAAAAAAGAAAACCGTCAATTTCTCAAAGACACCTTCAAGTCCAAAAATCTTTCAAGTATTTTAGTTATGGATATAATTCGCCATTTTAACGTACATACAACTTACGTACAAACCGCCACATTTTAGTTTTACCGCACGTAAACCGATCAGCGAACTCGACAATTTTCTACTTTGGACGAGAAAATTGTGTAATTTGGATGGGAATTTCTTTAACGTGTGTTTTCTTATCTAATCCACATCCGAATCAGTCGCACCTAGCGCCACCTTAGCAGTCCCTATTTTGCACTGTTTCATTCAGTGCTTTGCGCGCCCGGTGCCACTAACGCTTAAAGTTGGAGCAAGCGCTTGCTGCATGACATGGATTAGATAAATGTACTTCAAAATATTTTAAGCAGACAGACGAAATTTAATATTTTTTGAAACAATTTAGAACACTTGAAGAAGCACACGTTGAGTTTGGTTACCGAGGGACCGTGGATGGTTTAACCAAACAACCGGCAGCGCTTGATTTAAGTTATGTTTTAGTTTGACAATTATCACATAGATGACTACATAGCAACGCGAATGGTGAACATGGAAACCATCGTGTAACTATTTTGTATCATATGTGACAACGTCTGCGGTTTGTCTTCATGGTAACCATCAAAGAAAACAAACAATGTGCTTTTATTAAAACTATGTTTCGTGTTAGTTTGGTTAATATGAAGCCATTCCGCATACTTAGACCTGGTGTACTAAACATTTTTATGCCTGTTTTGCTGTGGCTTGCCGCATCGAAATTCCAGGAATGAAGTTTTCTTAATAAGAAAACAACATATCCATTTTTACATTTACAGTAATTGCCACGCCGCTCCTAAACTGTAAATGTCTTGACAAACTGAAGACTATTTGAGTTTCAATTTGTCGATTTGAAAATGACTGACAAGATTAAAGTTTCCTTCGAAAGATTTTGAAAAATTAGTCATTTCTCTTGATAGTGGAGTTCATCCTTTAAATTTATAAAGGTTCTAACCCCATACTCATTATCTAAGCGTAGCAACTACTCGCTGCAACTACAGCGCATGCCTAAGCTATCTAAACTTCCTACCTGCGCATGGCACCGGAATTCCGCCCTGAAAGGAATGCCCTTGAAGGAGGTAACCCATCATGCCCTTAACTTAACTTAACCTAGTGCATGTTGCACCTACGGGCGACCTCCAACCGGGGTGGGTTGAACTACTCATGCATTATAGGGGATCCATGCAGGAGTGCCTTAATAGTCAATGTAGAAAGCCGTTCATGAAATTGGCCAACTACAACGACTGCATGCTCTTACCGTACTAGGGGAGAGATATTTTTCTTTCCACCAAAACCACGATCTTCCCTTCGTCTTCAATAGGCCTTCCTCGCTTGATCCAGTCTTCAAAGGTCTTCTTACAGATGCTATTTGCATCCTCTACGCTAAGGTACCATTTGTACCCACTAACCCCAAGTTGAAGTTGCCTTCCTTGGGCCAAACTTTCACTTGCATTTCCGATTCTAAGCTGTGGTCCTGCCTATCCTTCTGCGAGGCAACAACCGCTGCGATCATGCGTAGCTCCTTAAAGCAGTATATTCACACAGAGGTTTTTGAAGGTAAATTATATATAACAACACAATTATTGCATGCCAGTCACAGACTTAAAATAGTTGATACAAATTCACGCTTACTAAGACACAAATTTTAAAAAGAATTAAAGCAGCACCGATAAAGACAATTGGATTATTTTAACCAAAAGAACACTTTTATTACCTCTTAATCAAGACTATTTTTTGAAAATGCAGATGTAAATTTCTTTAAATGTATATATTTGCATTCCTGCATTAAAAAAATAGCCTTACAGTGGAATATACTGAACACCAGGATTTGTTGTGGCTATTGCCCGAATTATATTAGAGATTTGACCTGTTAACAGGCCTAACTAAATAAAAGGTTTATTATTATTACACTTACGGTTTTCGACGAATCCTTGGCAGTTCGACGACAGACTACGATGAATGACAAATCTCATGCCAATTGTGAAGATGAAACGATCGGATGTTGAGCAAGGACAGCCACAAAAAAGCCCAAAATAATTTTTTGAAAAATTCAGAACGTTGATGGTGAAACCATCGTATCCAATTTCAGGCTACCTGACAAACATCACCGCTTTTATGTCGACGACGGCAAGCACAGAAACAAGATTGGCCATTTCTTGCAACTGTGCATGTCGTCTACGGCATTAAATCGGAAATATCGACAGCCAGTCGGAAAATTAGGATTTTAGGTTTTTATTTTCATGTTAAAGAAATTCCATGTTTTATTACAAAATTTTCAATTAAATAATGTTGAAATTTGGGCATTTGATAGCGGCGTGGTTTTATCCATCATTGCGATTGATTGACCAGTCGTGATGTTAGCAGGAAAACTCCCAGGAAAATGTTTTAGAAAAGGTCATAATATTGACTTTTCCATGGAAACAGGCGTTAGGCTGATGGATGCATTGCTCCAGAAGAGTGTTTAGCGTTTGCATTCTTTGTAGAGATGGTCTTTAGAGCATTAGAAGTCACGTATTTTTCAATTTCATCAAAGTATATTGTTCATTCTTGATCATTGTTCAGAGGATTTCATTAAAGTACGTATATTGTCCATTCTTGATCAGAAGGTTTCTACATAGGACAATTGAAGCCAATGTCAGTTCACACTATACTTCCATAAATGAAAAACATTGATAACATACTTACATTGAACATTTTATTCACTAGTAATGTAGTTCAAGGGAAGAAGATATTCAACCAAATTACAGAATTGTATTTTGTTCTTATGTTTAGATGAGCGTCGAGGAACTGGTCGACAACAGCCACAATTCTCTTCAACCGCTGTGAACAATAACCACTTTCTTTAATTGTGGAGTCTACGATCATGGTGAATACACCAACATTTGTTCGTTGTTTCTCAATCTCATTTGATGACTAATTGTCGTTTAAGAGAAGAATGTCCATGTCTAAAATCAAGCATAGAGGAAACAAAAGTTACTAAGACGGAAACTTTATGGGAAGGCCACACTGCACTTTGCATTAATGAATATCATAGGTAGTGTCCCAATTTAATGTTTACTCAATGCAAAAGAACTTAAAACAAGACATTTACCTGAACAATTTTCAAAGCACTCCAAGAGATATTTCACCGTGGAATAATTTCGACTTCGGCTAACTATTCTTCGTGCAACTACAGACTTTCACGTTCAAATGGCACGTTCTTAGTCTTAGACTATGGACCAAGTTTCACGAACGTGTTGTATTCTGATTGGTCAGTGACTAGGTGTATTGTAAACTGTTGTGTTCTGATTGGTCATTTACCAGGTGTGTCGTCAATTGTATATTATGAAATTTAGAATTTGCATGATTCATCACTTAGAAGTAATTAATCCCCATACAGCGGTAAATGCAGTTCTTAAACTACCTGTCTGTGACTTTGGCTTTATCATGATGTTACCAAATTAACACAAAGACAAAATATCTTCCTCAATTTCAATATTATTAGTCTATCTTTAACAGTATTGGTTACCCATATTTATTCTAATGTCAGAGTCAATATAGCAGATTTGTTTCGAGGTATAGCTTGGTATAACAAGCCATTGATACTAAATACTAATTTTCTTTTAGTACATTAGCCAATGGGAATTGTCTGTTCAATGCATGTTCTATTGCATTAGTTGGGAATGAGACTCTCTCTATTTACTTGAGATTCCTAACTAGTGTTGAAATGTTTGAAAATGCAAAATGCTATTCTACCCATCCTGTCATCGAGTCCCAGCATAAAAATGGTGCGTTCACTTCACTTAAAAATGCCTTTGCCATATGTATATCCGATGCAGCTCTAACCTCTTTAGAAAATGCGAATGAAATTGCAGAAGTTTTACAAGAAGCAGTCAGCAAATAATTAAACCTTTTCTTCCTTGATGTGTATGTTTGCTTTGTCCACTGTAATCCAGTGTGCTATTCAGTCATACTACCCAATTACTAATGATGCTGAAGTGAAAGGAAATTGGGATTCGTTGGCTAAAATGTTCAATTGTACAATATATCCAAGAGATTTTGTTGATGGGAGTGCAATTAACTATGTCCATATCTTTCGTTGTGCTGCGATGCCACCTTCTTATTTGGTAGATCAAAAAATCCCATACACCAAAAATCATTTTGTTACTTTGTTTTTAGTGGACCACCTTTGAAAATTGCTTTAATTAATCTTGCCATCTTTACGCTTGTTGGATAAGCATCTTTGCTGCTGTTGGAAGAAGACCGCCTTTGAACATTGCTTTTATTAATCTTGCCATCTTTACGATTGTTGGATAAGCATCTTTGCTGCTGTTGGAAGAAGAACGCCTTTGAACATTGCTTTTATTAATCTTGCAATCTTTACGATTATTGGATAAACATCTTTGCTGCTGTTGGAAGAAGACCACCTTTGAACATTGCTTTTATTATTCTTGTCATCTTTATGGCTGTTAGCAAAGGCATCCTTGCTGCTTTTCGAAAAAGACCATTTGATGGGGCAACAAAGATGGGGAATTATATTTTTGTAGTGAACTGTCTTTTGGTTATTCACTGCAAAAATAACATGCTTCATCTTTCTCTCACTCCTGTGGCAACAATCCTGTGATTACAGAATAGTACGTAAACTGCGTTGAGTTTACATCAGACACCACAAGGTAAGTAAAATTTTTATTTTTCTATCCGAACAGAATTAAAAAAATGGCGATATTAGAATTTTTGTTAGATGAGATTATAACTAAAATATTGTTATATTCTACGATAAAAATGCCGGAATTCGCTTTTTCAAGAGTCTAGATTTCAAAATTTTCTGGGGGAGCATGCCCCCAGACCCCCCTAGCGTTGGCTCGCGCCGAAGGTGCTCGCTACGGCACAGGGCCACGGTCAGCCCAGAAGCTGGATCCGCCCCTGAGTAGGTGAAACCATGATGGCTTAAGATCCCGCGAGATGTGAAGGTCAAAAGTAATTTATTCCTACAAGAGGGACAATTATTAAAATGGTTAAAAACTTTATGCAAATATTTGAAAAAATGGAAAAGTATTGAAGGAATTGTGACATTCTTGTGTCTATTTAAACATGGTGACCATTTCTGTACATATGTCGTTCATAAACTTGATATGCAGCTTTTAAACCACTTTCTAAAGCACCTTGTATCCACTTTCGTGTAAAGGAAATTCCTTCACCAGCGAAATGAACGTTTCCCATAGGCTCCCATAAATACCTAGTTTTGACAAAAAAACAATGTATGTCACGACCAAATAAAAAATTTGTTTGACCTATAAAGTTTATACGAAGCTCAGATATCAACCAAATTTGCCACAATTCTTCAACTTATTAAAAATGTAAGCACATGTTTCTAAGACAAGCTTCAAATACTGTCTTAAAAATTAAAAGTTGAAGTACAAATTTAATTTTTTATGCACCCGGTTCTGATAAATAAGCTGTAAAAAAATGGAGGATTTCAGAATCTTATAAAAATTACGGTAAAAAACTTGTGGCAATGTTGTATTTCATCATACAGTCAAAGTTCGTGGCCAGTACACAACTTGGTATGAACACAACGTGATCTCTCTACGGTCATATTCTATAATTAGTTAATTATGGTTCAGGGTTAGCTATATTTGTAATTTTATGTACTCTAGCTTGTTATGTGTTCTTTCATGAAAAAATTGAATGTTATCCTAAATGATCCTACCTGATGTTGCCGTATTGAGCAGTTTTCATTGCTACACACGCGCCTTGATAAGATGGCAGCCTATACCAATGATGAATTATACAGTTTGATACAATGTCTTCTTTTAATGTTGGATGAATTTCTGCGAGTTGTTCCACTACTTTTCGTTTTACCCAAAAAGCAAAGCCTCCTTGGTCCATAAGTAAATCATTACAAGCCCTTCTTTTGTGCAGGGGTCTTCCGGGGTGACGTAATGAACCTGACCTATGGGAAGGTTTGTAATTGAAAATCCACCTTTGATTCCTTCATCTTCCCAGAATCTTGTTTTGGTTTGAAGAAAGATTTTTGATGAATGCAAGGTAAGAATATGGTTCATAGCTTGAAGGTTTTTTCTTGTCGCCAACTGGGACTTATTGTTGTTAAGCTTTGATTTGAAAGTGATTTGGCGCAAAATATTAGTTGGTGTGGCAACAATTACGGCCTACATAAAACAAAGTAGTAATTTTACCCTTGCAAACACTTACAGATCACGTCTTCACCCAGTCAGGAAAATTGTCTCCATACAGAAAAATTTTGTGTAAAGTATGAAGGAATAACTTATTGCTGTATTATGTAACATTGAAATATTTCGTCTTTTACTGCTGAATCCTTTCGCACTAACCAACGAGGTTTTTCTTGTAGATCATAAAAAGTTCATTATTTAACAGCAAAAAAAGTATTGACTATTGACGCTTATAAATTGCAAGGCGATGGCAACAATAAGTCATATGAAATTGAACAACTCAAGACTTCAATCGTTATTGTGAACTTCTCAAAATGGATGCTTGTGGTATTTACTAAAAAAAAACGTAAGCATAAGTTATTTTTTAAGTTAAATTATTCCCTTACACAGACAATCTTAAAATTGTTTGAAGCTAACATAAAAGCTATTGGTGAGCATTAGGAAGTTTTAACATTAGCTAACAATTGGCAAAATTTTTCAATCAGATAGTAATATAAAATACAAAAAAAAAAGTTTAAAGATTGGTAATCCAAGCATATTTAATGTATAATAATAAAAGTTTCTACAGACTGTATATAAAATTATTTTATTGAGCTCTCAACTCGGTGCTTCGAGCCTTCATCAGAAAGATATAAGAAGTTATATACAGTTCTTTTTCATTTGTGGACGCTTAGAGCGTCTAATTGGATTAGCGCGTGGTTTAATGTGATTGGATGGTGTGGAATGCGTTGTCATGGGTATTGGTGTATTGTGATTATGACTGTTGATAATATTATTAGAGTGCATTGTTGTAGTTTTGGCGTTGTTTGTAGTTTTTTTTTCCTTTTTCTTTCGTTGTGAGTATATGATGGGTATTCCAGCTACCACACGACTTACTTATGACGTTGGTTAAAGGTTGTGAGAACGTCAGGTCCGACCTAACCTTTTCACGACGTTCGCACTACTTTAAGTGATTATTTTGACGTTGTACTGAAGTTGACACAACGTTTGTTAGCGACGTAGAAATTAACCGTTCAAGCAACGTTCATAGAACGCTGAAGTCTGAAGTTATAGCAACGCTGGAAACAACGTTGAAAGCCTGGTTAATAAGTGCTTGCATATGTTAGTGTAATCAGTCCTAAAGTCATGTTTTTTATGATATAGTTGCTGCTGCGACTGTCCAACGACACTCACACAACTTCTACTGATGCAAAATTGAGAGGTTTGCGTAATCAGTCAATGTTCCCAAGACATGTGTTTATCATATATGTTCAAAAATGTATTTTAATTTTTTTCTAAAAGGGAAAAAAATAGTTTCCTAAATGCATTTCAAGAAAATTTTAAGATGTTCAAAGAAATATTTTAAGAAAATATATGATAATTTTTGTTCTTCTGAATTCTACATATCTCATTTCAGACAAAAAACTGTGCTTTTTATTTTTTGAAATAAATTTTTATTTTCAATTGTAATTTTACTTTTACATAGATGAGCATTTACATTGACAAGCATTTGGTTTTATGCCAAATGTCATTTGGAATATATTCCATCTATATATATATACATATTTATAATTATGTTTAAGATTAGCACGCATTCATAAGCAAAATAAAATATTTTCATAGTTAAGAGTTCTGAATGATTTTTCTTTTTTACAATTTCAGATGGCCAAGTTTGCAGTTGTTGTATTTATTGTTTAAAAACTGTTGAAAATGTGTTCTAAATATGGATTGAGACCATCAACAAGGTGAAAACAAATGAATAATCTCTTTTTATAGCCAGTGGCAAAGCCAGTCTTATTATTCATTCCTGTTATGTAAATTTGTTGGAAAAACAACAGATTTCTAAAGAAATGAATGATGATAATGATTTGAAATTTACATTGCTAGACTAAAACTTAGGGCTGGCTCTGCTGATGTTTATAGCAAATATTTCAATATACCCAGTTTTTTCTTATGAAATTGAAGACATAAGCTTTATTAGGTGTGCCTACTGCAAAGTTTACAGCTCCTTGACTGTTGTGAATGTTATTTTGTAATATTCATACAAATAGTCTTCTATAAGCATTAACAGACTTAATTCAGCTATTTTATATAAACGAAAGTAGATGTATGTATTTTAATTAAGTTAATTTCACAAAGCTCTGGATTAACAGCTCTACAGTTCTTGCTACTTGTTATTCAAAAGCTTTATTGCCATTTATTACGTAATTTGTAGTTCTTCATCTGTTCGTAGACAATTACAAGAGAGCTGTTAGAACTGAATTGTTGAGTTTTTACATGTTGAGTTTCTATCAAAATTGTTGAATATTAATTTTCATGATATAGTCAAAACAATAAGAGCTTGTACGTAAAGTAAGATGTTCCTTTACTTTTTATCAAGTTATGAGAGTAACGTCGGAGAAGACATCACAACGCCGTTACTTCCAGTTGCACATAAATACTCATTATCTTTACAGAAAATTATGCCACAGCCAGCATTGGTGTATTTCAACTGAAAAATTTAGTTTTAATGCTGGAATATTGTTTTAAATTTGCTATTGTTTCACTTATGTTGGCTTTACCTAACCAATACCTTGAGATTCTACTTAGCTAGTCCAATTTAGGAACTACTTAGCTAGTTAAATTTTCATTTCTTATCCGATTCTTTATCTGATTGAAAAGTTTTTCATGGTCATACGGTCATACCAAACTTTAAATTTGCCTAGCGGTAACAACTAACCATGCCATGGGTTTTCATTGGGTAGATTCAATCCAGTGTAACGCTTTGTAATCATCGTTGTGGTACTAAATCTCGGCGTATAATAAACAAACTTGGAAAAAGGGAAATTTTATCACAGTTAAGCCTTTAAAGGAAGAAAAGCCAAACAGTGTTTAAAGGTTAAAAGATAAACTGAACAAATCCTACACACCATAAGCAATACCACAAAGAACATAACCTTCACTAAAGACGAAAAGCACAACAACAAACAACTTACCTTACTCGACATCCTACTAACCTGAGCAGGTGAATGTACACTAAACACACAAGTATACCGCAAAACCACCCATACAGACCAAATACTCGATTTCAAAAGCAATCATCCAACACAACACAAAATAAGCTGCATTCGAACACTTTTCAACAGGATAAACTCTCATTGTAATACCGAAGAAGCCAAGAAAACAGAACGCAACTATATACTCCACATTTATTAAAAACAATTACCCTAGAAACTTCATAAACAAAACTATAAACAAAATACAAAACAAAACACAAACCGACAAAAGTAACAAGAAACCAGACGAAACAGTAAAAATCGTCACATTACCATACATAAACGGAACATCTGAAACGACTGCCAGAATTCTTCGACCATTTAATATTAACGTCACTCCCAAACCTACACAAAAACTTAAACCATGTTTCGCCAAACATATAGACAAAACATTACACTCTAATAATAATAACACTAGTCATATTCACAATACACCAATACCCATGACAACGCATTCCACACCATTCAATCACATTAATCCACCCGCTAATTCAATTAGACGCTCTAAGCATCTACATATGAAAAAGAACAGTATATAACTTCCTATATCTTTCTGATGAAGGCTCGAAGCACATAGTTGAAAGCTCAATAAAATCATTTTATATACAATCCGGACAAAATTTTTATTTTTATACAGAAAAATAAATGCATGCGCTGATTGGTCTATTGCTGTGTTTGCATTAGCCTGTAAAACGAATTTGAGCTCAACCAACAAAATCAATCAATCAATCAATAAGAATTTGCAAATTAATGCTTTTTTCAAATGTTTTCCATTACTTTTATTTAGTAAAAGAAATAAAAGATGTTTTTGTGTTTGCACAGTCTTGTGCAAACCTCGGAGACGTTTATACGAACTCTGGAGCAGGTGCGGGCCTGGACCTTTCGTCTGGGGTTTGCACTGATCTGCTCTTGATTTCTCTGAAAGGTCTCCTCGGTTTTCATCAGCCTGTGCAAACACGGATAAATCTTTCTTTTCTTAAATACATTAAATTTTAAAAAAATTTTCATATACACCTCCTCCTCTTCTACATAAATTTATACAACTCTAAAACAAGGGGACATTTAGAAAAATATGTCGATATTGTAATTCCTAGACCATCTTTGAATATGTCGTAAACAAACATGAAAAAAGTTCAAAACTACCATTATCATCAACAGCTTTTTAAAGCTTTCACAAAAACGTCCAGAAATATTTTACTTCGATTTTTATTTATGCATGCGAAGGACAGTTTTTGATTTCCTGCATTCTTATTGGCTGCCACAGCGGGCGGCTTTTTACGATATTATGACCGTAGTCGACGAGTCATTTCTATCAAAAAATTTGCTTGGAAAATCAAATTTTTTAAATTTATTTAAGTACCGTGTAAATAGTTTGAAGAGAAAGCAAAATGTATTTAGGTGATACTCATCATAGCAAAAGTGAATTTTACTATTCAGAGAGAGTACACTTAATAAAATAGGATTAATTTTCCTCTCAACCAGCCACGTCGAGCAATTTAAAACGCGATTATTTTTGTTTATAAAAATAAGAAATATTTTCACTTAGTCTCAAAAGCATCTTCACGTTCATGGAAGATTACTTCAGACATTTGCTCAAAACATTTCTTTTTCTTCGCAAATTTAAAAATTAAAATTGACTGTTGTAATTTCAAACTACGCCTTTATTTGTTTATTCTGTAGAATAACAAAACAAATCAACATAGACAACTAACCAGAAAGATGTTTTGATATTCATCAGTAAATTGAAAACTATATCATCAAAATTTACAAGATATATATCATAGAAATATGCAAAACTTCTGTTTTTCATTAGTGAAGCAAAGTCTTTAACCAGTTCCTTTATGAACATCTACACTATAGATGAATATACTGAAGATATGAATCGTTTGTTGATACTTTGTTGTAGACCGAGAATTCATCTTCGAAAAATGCCTCGCGGAACAGAAATTGGCTTTGCCAACTTCAACTTTTATATGACGATACAACAAGCTATCTCATTTCTCAGTCATTACATAAGCACAGATAATACAACATTAGTGTTAAAACTCTCCACCGGTTTTCCTGTACATTTCATTAAAACTTTGTCCAAATCAGAAGTTTACTCATGCGCTGAGAAATTCATTGCGGTTCAGGAACGACACCCCCTATTAAGTCAACAGCAAATGATCGAACTTCCCGCTTTAATTCCACGAGAGATGCGTTACCCAGTCTAATGCACATAACACAGATTGCAATCCACTGCAGACGCGGATGTCTCGCTGTGGGCAGTGTAGTAGTTGAACAATTACTGAACAAGTTCGCAAAGTAAAAGGTTAAGCAAACATTTCCGACTAAATTAATTTCGGTTTACTAAGCTTACCTTTCCTTTATAAACAGTTGGTGTACCACTATTTGAATAGTACGACACCTCTTTAAAATCTTTTAGCGGACAATCATCTCTACACCAGTAATTTATTTCATATACTTGCTTCTTGTATTCTATGTCATCTGTACTTAATATTCCACTGTTGAAAAACGATTTTGGCAAATTGTGCATGCCACCTTTCAAACAATGCATTTCAGTAGAATGCCATTTTCCCAATGGAAACGAAAGATAGTGTTCAAGTGATTGGTCAAGATCACACGCATATTAAACTACAGAAAAGCCTTGAACGGCGTCGCTAGACCATGGCAAAAGACTTTCAAGCTTGATTAAATCCAAGTCTTCCTGCTCTTGAATAGAAACTTTAGCTTTAATTACATCGATAGTACTTTCAAGAAAATTTTCCACCGTGAACCGACACCAAATTTTAATCCAACGATCCCAAGCATTAACTTGATCATCTACACTATTTGCTTTTGATAACCAAGTGTAAAGCTGGTCACTGACAACACTTGTTGTTTCGTCGTAGTATTTTCCTGATTAAAAAGGTAAATTATTGTTACTAACAGTTTATAATGTTGATTTTATTCTCAAGACATAGATTCTCACCCAATGAAATATGGTTGTTTTCCCTTGCATGCCTCGTCAATAGTTTTTTACATATCTGAATCATAAAAATAGACAAAAACATCTCATTGTATAATTACCAATATTCAAAATGTCTTTTCTAAATGATTCATTTATTCCATCCATCCAGTTTGGCCAAAATTTGTCAAAATGTGTCTCAGCCCAAACTGAAAACATGAGACACAAAGCAGCATAAACAATTACTCTAGCAAATTAATTATTACATATGAAAGAGTAGTACTAACAATATCCAGGTGCAAATAGCGTCATCATGAACTGTAGTGGCAAGCATTTTGAGTGTAATCCAGTATTAGCTATAATGCAGGCCTAAGTTCGTTGTTGAGAAAATAAATGTTGCAAATTTATAGAAATGATTTGAGTTTTCTTTCTATCGATGTTTGCCTTTCATCTTACAAACTTTCTATTTGTATAAAAGAACAACACTTGAATATGTTATAGAGGCGTAACTAGAACGTTAACTGGGTGTGTATATTCATATATTTCGTTGTGCCCTGCCGATTTCTTTGAAACTCAAATCACTTTCATGAGAAATCAGTTGGGCAAGGCGGAATATATAATATGCCCCCCTCCCCAATTAACGTTCTAGTTAAGCCTCTGATGTTATATGTTGAGCAAGCATCGTTTTGACTAGCTAGCAGAAATAGAAAAACATTTCTCATGACATGCAATTGCATCTTCTCAATACATGCATCTAAAGTCGTCTTGTTGGATTTACATTACACGATCTCTGCTTTTACACTATTTTTATGCTTTTACACTATTTTGCTCACTATTTTTATGCACTTTACCTTCAGATTTTCACGAAGACCATAAATGCTAGTAATGACATTTTCATCGTAGTTTGGAAAACATTTGATAGGTAGATTAAAGTTCTTGATGTAACCGTCCGTTAAATAATGTTGTTTTTCATATTGATCGTCCACACCTCCAGGCAATCGCATTACTCCAGCTTGAAAATAATAAATATCTTTTAATTGAAAATTGTAAGATTCTCTTTCATTTCTGCATGTACATGATTAAAGAATTATATTTCTAGATGGTCGCCAATATCATATAATACCAAAAAGTTCATGTATTCTAGTGATTTTCATAAAATTTGGCATTTTCTACAAGAAAAGAGTGTAATCTCTCAATCTTTTATCAATGCTTCTCTTTAAAAATGACTTTTTCTAGATTACTTGATTATGAAAAAACTGTTTCATTAAAGTGTATAATCTGTAGATTTAAAAATTCGTAGAATATATATTTTTTTCTGTGTCTTCCAACACGACAATGACGTCAAACACACACATAAGTAGAGTTTTTTTGAAAACACCCCAAAGATAAAAAGGTTTGTGTGATTCAATGGCCAACACAATCATCAGATTTGCCACAAACGTATATAGGCACAACTCGGGAGTTGGAAGCGGAGAAGCAATGAAGGCTATAAGACCCTCCTAACTTTTCTTGAAAGGACAGCACCCCTTACTCATAACATTAAAACAGTAAAATTCCTATGAAAGATGCAGGTCTCTTTGAATATAAAACATACGTATGTTTATTACGGCCTGGTAGGCTTCAAAAAAATCCCGCAGAAAGTTTTTGTAATTTCCCTTAATAGCATATTTTGTTGTTAACATCACCTGCTGATACAGAAAATGATGATAAAACAGCTATTTTCATTTTCATGAAATTACTTCAATTTTAGCAGACAACTTTACTGAGCGAGTTTATCCAAACCTTCTGCATACAAACCAGACGCAAGACCACTTTCTTTACCATACGTAAAGATTCTTCCTCCATAACGGTCAGTTTGCTCTAGAATTTTCACAGAAAGACCAGCTTTTTTAATTGATACGCTGCACTTAGACCTGCCATTCCTGCATCAACTATAATGACGTCACTGATCTTTTCATCTTCAATACCATTGATTATCGATCTTGGATGTTTTGAGTCCGCCGGTTTGTATCCGTGACGATTGTAAGCTTTTCGCAAACCTTCATCTTGGATACATTTCAGAAACGTTTTGATGCAATCACTGTGCTGAATTGGAATTTGTTTATTTTTCGGAATTTTCGTAGGTTCATCATTTTTCCAAAATCTTTTGTGGTTTTAAGATAATCTGACGCCATTGTAGAACATGAAAACTTAAACAACTACAATGTACATTGAGTTGAATAAATTAGATGTGTAATAAATGTAGCATTGTATGACTGATCTTAAGTATTTACTTTCTTTACTTTACTTGATTTTACTTGTAGATTGAAGAATTTTGGCCGAAAACAACTGAAACAAAAAGACCACATGCCCTAATATCTGTCTTACAAAACATGTTGATCAAAAGGCGAATGCAATTTTGATTTTTGAGATATGAACATCAAACGAAAACATATAAACAATACAGTATTCTGCATAATTAATTAAGTAGATATGACATACGCCATATCACATGAAGATCGTCATTATAATATCGTTGCTCGTTACACTTGTTTTGTTTCTCTATAAAATCTATATTATACTTTACATAATCCGAATGTTATTACCGACTTACGAATAATTTTACATGATTAACAATAGAATTTTATCCGAAATACGTTAAAAAGCCGTGCATGTTTTTCTGTTAAGCTTCAGATTTGTAAAGCCTTTCACGATCCAAGCATGATGGAGATATGCTGCACTTAATTTGCGCTTGACAATTATACTGTATTCCCTAAGCATGTATTTATTAGATTTAAGTTCACTCGTGATAAATCTACTAATTTCTATCGTCTGAGCATGATTATTGTTATCCGTTTCACAAACCTTTAAGTGTTGAAAATAGTGCCAACGATGTAACCAAAATTCAATATCTACTTCTAATGACAAAAACATAGACATGTAAATAAGATGGGATATGCATGGTTGGTCAAAAGTCAAACTTTCAAGGGGATGCGGTTGTTATATTCCGGCGAACTATTTCGACGATGTTTGCGCCGAAGTCCATCTGCGCCAAATGAGAACACCTTTGAATTTTTTGAACGGTATGTATTCCTGACTTGCAATTCAGCCATATATGTTGGTGGTCTGGTACAAAAGAATATTTCATCAGAGTTATTGTTGGCACCAGCCGGCGTGGACGAGACACATTGTTTCTGGAAAATCTCAAGAGAATGTTGCAAGTCAAGAATATGTCAAAGCCGCCGACAATCGCGAAAGTTGAAGGAGTTAGGATAAAGTGCGGATACGGAATGCGGATGAACCTTCGTATACGGATGGCGGATATGGGGATATAACGCGGAAGAGAGGATAAAACGCGGATAAGAGGATAAAAGGTGGATGAGGAGATAAAATCCGAATGAGGGGATGAAATGCGGAAGAGGGGACAAAACCCGGATAAGGGTATAAAACGCGGAAGAGGGGACAAAACGTGGATGAGGGGATAAAATGAGGATAAAATTGGAAATGCTTACTTTTCGGCATTTATTCTAAGAATTTTAGAACATTTAATTGTCATCACATTTCCAAAGAAAATTTAAAATTTCTAAAATAATTTTGGCGGAGAGGGGCCGAGCAGATGTACAACATCACTGAGACATTAGCCACTGCTGCTAAAGTCTATATAAGAGTTTCTTTCAGTTAAAAAAATCTTTTCGTTTATCATTCACCATCAAGTGATGAAATAATTTTAAATAAATATGACGGGAACAATATAATTGTTCTTAGCAATATTAGGATGATTTAAAAAGTGGCTCTTGTCAGTTGAGTTCACAGTTGCAGTCGAAAATTTCAAAAAGATGTTAAATGAACTTAAAAGAAGGTGTATGCAAAAATATGCTTAATATTGCAGATGCATGAAAGTTCGTAAGTTTTAGGTATGATATGCATGTTATGTTTGTGTGCATTTCGTCATTATTATAAAAGATCACTAAAACTCACACTCATTAAGTGCAACAAAGGCTTCAAATAATTATTAGATGACTTTGTAGCCAGGCTGAGTAATTGTGATTGGGGGTAGGCATTTAAAAAAACGCTGTGCTTGATATTACATCCACATTGCAACGCCACGCCTGCCACCGACTGCCACGCCTACCACGCCTCCTAAATCGGGGAAACCAGCACGCCTCCGACTGCCACGCCTCCTATATCGGGAAACCAGCACCCTCCGACTGCCACGCTTCCTAAATCGGGGAAACCAGCACCCCTCCGACTGCCACGCCTCCTATATCGGGGAAACTGGCACGAACCTAAACATAAGACTTACTGAACACAAACGAGCTACTAAGAAACAAGACAAAACTAATCACATTGCCGAACATCACCGAATCACAAAGCACAACATTGACTGGGACTCGGCAAAATGCATCACTTACATCATGGCAAAATGCATCACTTACAGTACTGACTATAGACAACGGCTTACATTAGAAAGTTGGTATACCAACTTGGAACAAACCCCCCTGAACAGATCACAGCAATTACCGGCACCTTCCAAATGACTTATTCACAATTCAAACAAACGATCAACTACAATCATTACACTTCACACTAATTCACAATGACAATACACAATTACAACTAAAAACATCACACCCGCACATTACAACTAAAAACATCACACCTAAATCACACATCACAACTAAAAATAAAAAATTTCACATCACACTAATCCACAATGACAATACACATTTCCTGTACACACAATACCATGACGTAAGAACCAAATATCAAATAAGGCTAACCTGACGTTTACTCCTCATTTGACTCTAAAGATGACTACCGCTAAGGTTGTCGAATTGTCAGTCAACAAAAACAAAAACAGTCCTTCTCCGGACTTTATTAACCTGGACGATCATCATTTACAAACATGTTTTTTATTGTAACAGAAATTAACGAATGTCGGTTTTATCCTTGTGGCAAAGGAGGCAGATGCATTAATACCGTTGGTTTACAGATATAAGTCTTTAATTTTTTAAAATATCTGTTGTAATAGCACTTCTATTTTCTAAGGAAAGATTTGAGCCACCATTATTTAACATCCATGTCGTAGACTGCAACGAAGCATTGATTGGAGGGACTGGTCTTGTGTGTTTGCGACTGGCTGGCTGTCTTTATTGCCTAAGTTGTTGGACACACTATCTTACAATATCAGACCTCAGGATTGTCA